TATGGTGCAAGAGAGTGGTCCAGTTTCATTCTTCTGCATGTGGATGTCCAATTTTCCCAGCACCATTTATTGAAGAGACTGTCTTTCTTCTAGTGGATCGTCTTTCCTCCTTTATCGTATATTAGTTGAGCATAAAGTTCAGGGTCCACTTCTGGGTTCTCTGTTCTGTTCCATTGATCTATATGTCTGTTTTTGTGCCAGTACCACACTGTCTTGATGAACACAGCTTTGTAGTACAACCTGAAATCTGGCATTGTGATGCCCCCAGATATGGTTTTCTTTTTTTAAAATTCCCCTGGCTGTTTGGGGTCTTTTCTGATTCCACACAAATCTTAAAATAATTTGTTCTAAGTCTCTGAAGAAAGTCCATGGTATTTTGATAGGGATTGCATTATACGTGTAAATTGCCCTGGGTAACATTGACATTTTCACAATATTAATTCTGCCAATCCATGAGCATGGAATATTTTTCCATCTCTTTGTGTCTTCCTCAATTTCTTTCAGAAGTGTTCTGTAGTTTTTAGGGTATATTTTGAGAACCATTTGAATGGTAAATGGTTCTCCAACCTTTTATTTTCAGGTTGTAGGTGTCCTTCTGTCTAAAATGAGTCTCTTGTAGACAGCAAATAGATGGGTCCTGTTTTTTTATCCAGTCTGAAACTCTGCGCCTTTTGATGGGGTCATTAAGCCCATTCACGTTCAGAGTTACTTGAACTTCTTCTTAAAGGGGAGTTTTAAGAGTCCCCCTTAAAATTTCTTGCAGAGCTGGTTTGGAGGTCACATATTCTTTCAGTTCCTGCCTGTCTTGGAAGCTCTTTATCTCTCCTTCCATTTTGAATGAGAGCCTTGCTGGATAAAGTATTCTTGGTTGCATGTTCTTCTCATTTAGGACCCTGAATATATCCTGCCAGCCCTTTCTGGCCTGCCAGGTCTCTGTGGAGAGGTCTGCTGTTACCCTAATATTCCTCCCCATGAAAGTCAGGGACTTCTTGTCTCTTGCTGCTTTAAGGATCTTCTCTTTATCTTTGGAATTTGCAAGCTTCACTATTAGATGTCGAGGTGTTGAACAGTTTTTATTGATTTTAGGGGGGGATCTCTCTATTTCCTGGATCTGAATGCCTGTTTCCCTTCCCAGATTGGGAAAGTTTTCAGCTAGGATTTGTTCAAATACATATTCTGGCCCTCTGTCCCTTTCGGCGCCCTCGGGAACCCCAATTAAACGTAGGTTTTTCTTCCTTAGAGTGTCATTTATTTGCCTTAATCTGTCTTCATGGTCCCTTAATTGATTGTCTCTTTTTTCCTCAGTTTCCCTCTTTGCCATTAACTTGTCTTCTATGTCACTCACTCGTTCTTCCACCTCGTTAACCCTCGTCGTTAGGACTTCTAGTTTGGATTGCATCTCATTCAATTGATTTTTAATTTCTGCCTGATTGGATCTAAATTCTGCAGTCATGAAGTCTCGTGAGGCCTTAATGCTTTTTTCTAGAGCCACCAGTAGCTGTAGAATAGTGCTTCTGAATTGGCTTTCTGACATTGAAGTGTAATCCAGATTTTGTAACTCTGTGGGAGAGAGGGCTGTTTCTGATTCTTTCTTTTGAAGTGAGGTTTTCCTTCTAGTCATTTTGCTCAGTGCAGAGTGGCCAAAAACAAGTTGTATTGGAACACGGGGGAGTATCATGGCGGAAGAGCAGGGTCCCCAAATCACCTGTCCCCACCAAATTACCTAGATAACCTTCAAACCATCCTGAAAATTTACGAATTCGGCCTGAGATGTAAAGAGAGACCAGCTGGAATGCTACAGTGAGAAGAGTCCGCGCTTCTATCAAGGTAGGAAGACGGGGAAAAAGAAATAAAGAAACAAAAGGCCTCCGAGGGGGAGGGGCCCCGCGAGGAGCCGGGCTGAGGCCGGGGCGAGTGTCCCCAGGACAGGAGAGCCCCGTCCCCGTCCCGGAGGAGCAGGAGCTGCACCAACCTTCCCGGGCGGGCGGAAAGGGGCTCGCAGGGAGTTGGAGCAGGACCCAGGAGAGCGGGGATGCCCTCGGGCTCCCGGGGACACTAACAGGCACCTGCGAGCGCAGGGGAGTGCTCCGAGCTCCCTAAGGGCTGCAGCGCGCACGGCGGGGACCGACCGGAGCAGCTCGGAGGGGCTCGGGGCGGCTCTGTGGAGGGGGCTGCGGGGCGGGAGCGCGAATCCAACAGCGCAGGCCCCGGAGCACAGGGCGCCGGGACACAGCCCAGGATCCGGCCTCCCCCGGGACAGGCAGAGGCCGGGAGGGCCCAGGACAGCGAGGACGCTCCTGCCCCGAGCTGAGCAGATCAGCGGCCCCGCCCCGGAGCCTCCAGGCCCTGCGGACGGAGAACCGAGAGCCCCGAGCCCCGTAGTTCCTGCGGAGGCTGAATCCAGGCTTCCAGAGTTGCCATAGCAACTGCGGCTGTTCCTCCTGGGGCCCCACGGGGTAAACAACCCCCGCTGAGCCCTGCAGCAGGCAGGGGCAGAGCAGCTCCCTCAAGTGCTAACACCTGAGAATCAGCGCAACAGGCCCCTCCCCCAGAAGACCAGCTAGAGGGACCAGTGATACTCCCCCGTGTTCCAATACAACTTGTTTTTGGCCACTCTGCACTGAAGATGTTCTTTAGTAGGTGAATGGATAGACAATCTGGTACATTCAGGCAATGGAACGTTATGCAGTGAGAAAAAGGAATGAACTATTGAGCCATGTAAAGACTTGGAAGAAACCTCAGCATGAGTTACCGAGTGAAAGAGGCCAGACTGAACAGGCTATATACTATATGATTCTAACTATACAATGTTCTGGAAAAAGGCAAAACTGTAAAACCAGTAACCCAGTGGTTACCAGGGGGTGGGGATTGGGATTAAGGGATAAATAGGTGGAACACAGGATTTTTTTTTTTTTATGAGAGACACAGAGAGAGAGAGAGGGAGAGAGAGAGGCAGAGACACACACAGGCAGAGGAAGAAGCAGGCTCCACGCAGGGAGCCCGACGTGGGACTCGATCCCGGGTCTCCAGGATCAGGCCCTGGGCTGAAAGTAGCGCTAAACTGTTGAGCCACCCAGGACACAGGATGTTTAGGGTAGTGGAAATATGCTATATGATACCAAAACGGTGGATACTTATCATTATACATTTGTCTACACCCACAGAATGTAAACACCAAGAGTGAACCCTCAGGTAAACTATGGACTCTGGATAATAACAATGTGTCAGTGTAAGTTCATCAATTGTACCACATGCACCCCTCTGTTGGAAATGTTGATATTGGGAAAGGCTGTGGGTGTGGGGGGTAGGGGATATATGGGAAATCTCTGTACTTTCTTCTTAATTTTGCTGTTAATCTTAAAGTGCTCTAGGAAATTAAGTTGACAAAAATAGTAATGAAAAAATAAACTATAAAGCTAAAAATGAAAGGTACTTTTACTAAGGGAATAGGTGAGAGGGGAGAAAGAATAGGAGCTAGACTTCTTTGAATATGCCTCTTTTTGTAGAGTTGATGTTGGAACCAGGTAAATATTTTACATTATGTGTAAAATAATATTACAATGTTTAAGGAAGTTCCTAAAAGAAATAAAAATAAAGTTAATTAAATAAACCTGTATATCTGGTGGGTGGCAAAACTACACAGAGAGGAACTATTCCAAGTGGCTTTGACTCTGTAATTTGACTGAACATTCCCAGTGAGATCTACTCTATGGACAAAAAGGGCTGCAAACAAATCTTACATTGTTTTCAGTAATTCTACTCCTGGCTGTAATGTTGTAATTATGATTCTGAGGTTGTTATATGTATAGTGTGGGATGAATTGAGTGAATGTTTATGTTGTATCATTCAGAAGTAAGATTTTTCAGTGCAGCTGGAGGGAGATATAGATGTAAGATTAATTACAAATCTAGGAAATGCTTAACATTCCCAATTATATATTATATATTCCCTGATGGAAATACCCAGTGCCATACACGAAGTAGTATTGAAAAAAAAATTTACCCTGCATTTGATCAAACCTCTAGATCTAGCCATTGATTTATAAGAAATTGAGGGAAAGGGAAAGGAACATGTTTCATGACACCACAGGAATACGATCAGTAAAATCTAGACCTGGGAAACATCCAGAGGATAAATGACCCTTGCAACAGAGAAAAATGCAAGGAAATAACCTTGAGAAACATATCAACCGAATGCAATGTATGTATGTGTAATTACTTGGGTACTGATTCAAACAACAAACTTGAAATAATTAAGAGGCAACTCGGAAAATGTGAACATTGATTGGAAATTTGATGATAAAATTTGATTAAAAAATTGATGATACTAAGATTATTATGATGATGATTTTAAGGTATGATAATTATACTGAAGGTATTTTTAAAAGAGTCCTTATTTTTTAAAAGTTCATATTGAATACTTAATTTAGAGATAAAAATATGATGGAGCTAGGTATTTCTATTTCCTGGTCAAAGGTCATTTCTTCCTTTCTAAAAAAATGTTTTAAGCAATATTTTCCTCAGTGAATGTTGAGTGACCAGTTATCACTTTTTATTTGTGTGTTGACATCTAAATGTATCATAAAAGACCTTGGATTCCAAGGAAAGTCTGTTTCCAGCTCATCTTGAAATTATCATGTTAGCCAGAGAATCTCTGCACAATATAGCTCTCAGGAGCCTGAGAAAACTTTATAATAAATATCATGTGTTAAATCCTCAGTGTCTTCAAAGCCCAGAATTTTCCTTACAATAATGATAATTCAGGGACTCCTGGGGGGCTCAGTGGTTGAGTGTCTGCCTTTGGCTCAGAGAGTGATCTCAGGGTGCTGGGATCGAGTCCTGCATTGGACTCCCCGCAGGGAGCCTGCTTCTCCCTCTGCGTGTCCCTGCCTCTCTCTCTCTCTGTATCTCTCATGAATAAATAAATTAAAATCTTTAAAAGAGATAATGATAATTCACAGGGATTGGGAAATCATTTTTATTTTCCCTTATGGGACTTACCTGTTTACCATTTGGTTGTAAACCTCCTTTTTTGCATATTTTCATTGGCCCGATAAGCCCAGTGAATATATCTTTGGTAGGATCCACAGCAGAATAATACATCTTAGATAGACAGACAGGGTCTTTGTAAGTGGGTCCCACTTCTTCGGGGACAGTCCATTCATAGGTGAATGTTTGTCCAGGTGCCACATGTGAAGCTGAAGGAGGCGTACCTATGAGATATGTCACATTGCAGAGGTTAGGCAGGCTTTCTGAGGTGGTCATTTGAGCCACCGAGTAGACTGGGTTCAGTCTAAGACCCACTTCTCAGTTCCTTATTATGAATTACAATGAAATCCTACTTAGATGGAGACCTACATGTGCTCCTATGTCAGGTCATGGATGGGGGTGATTTCCTTTAGGACGCTTCCTCTTAACCACGATTGGTGCCTGCTATGGTCTGAATGTTTGTGTCCTCCTAGAATTCACATATTGGAATCTTAATGCCCAATGTGATAGTGTTAGAAGGTGAGCCCTTTGGGGGCTGATTAGACCATGAGAGTAGAGCTCCTCCAAATAGGATTAGTGCCCTTACAAGAGATTGGATCCCACAGAGCTCCCTAGGCCCTGTCACCACGTGAGAATACAGCAAGAAGTCTGAGACCCAGAAAAGGGTCTTCATCCAATGATGCTGGCCCTCTGATCTTGGACTTCCAGTCTTCAGAACTGTGAGAAATGAATTTCTGTTGTTTATAAGCTGCCTAGTCTGTGGTATTTAGTCATAACAGCCTGAACGGACTAAGACAGGGCTGCTCTCTCAGCGCCTGAGGATGTCCCCAACACTTTCATGTTAGATTATGTGTACTTCCCCCACAAACAGAACTTCACTTTCTTGAAGCAAGTGTTATCCCTACATTTCCTTTGTTAGAACAACAGAAAACAGAGGGTAATCCATACATTTTCTATTGAACAAAGCTGAACTGAAAATAATTTCAGAACTAAAAGGTAACTGCAGGGACACCTGGGTGGCTCAGTGGTTGCGCATCTGCCTTCAGCTCAGGGCATGATCCTGGAGTCTGGGATTGAGTCCTGCATCAGGCTCCTTACAGGGAGCCTGCTTCTACCTCTGCCTATGTCTCTGCCTCTCTCTCTGTGTCTCTCATGAAAAAATAAACAAAATCTTTAAAAAAAAAAAAAGTAACTGCAGATGATTCTGTTCAAATATCCTGATTTTATACTTGGGTAAACTGAGTCCAGAAAGACTGAATAACATGCCCACGGTCACACTGCAGAGGATGGCAAAGGCGCTAGGCTTCATCAGTCAGCCTGACATATAAAAATACCTAAAAGCATGCATACTGGAATATTGTATATTAAAGTTATATCAAAATGTTATAATGCTAAGAAAACAAACTCAGTACAATTTCAATGATAAGTGTTTATACAGTATGATCTCAACCACATTTGAAATATATATTATATGTACACAGATGAAAGAGTGGAGGAATTATCTAAGAATGTAATAGGGGTTGTCTATAGAACTATAGGTAATATTTTTTGCTGTACCTTTTTATATTTTTCAAATATTCTAAAACGAGCATCTAACCTTATCATTTTGCAAGAACATTTTTCAAATTTAAAAATCACCCAAATAGTACTCTAGAAATGTATAGTTGATATAATCCCCATAAGTTACTACCAGCATTGTTAAAAATCATGCAATTAAGGCAGGACCAAATTCCATACACCAATTGGAAATGGAAGAAGAGGTTTACTTGCCTCCTGGCATGGTGCCTAGGAATGATATAGGAGCAGTTTCCTTGGAAGTTTCTGCCTTCGGTTTTTGCAGGGCAGTTTTCCCTGGGCGACCAGCAGCGTGGGTTATTAAATGTTGTTTGGTTACAGAACATTGTACTCACTTTCAGTCCGGGTGTTGTTATGTGAAGAATAGTATGTGCCCTCGTAGTTCTTACTGACTCTCACCCCAACTGGCTCAATACTGAGGGGATATTTTCCCTTGTTATGGAAAGTGACTCTGATGGTAAATCCCACCTCTGCCCAAATGACAGGACCTAGGAAACAAGAGAGAATTGTTATCCTTCCTCGGTATAAAAAATACAAAATACACAAGATAGTTATTTTCTTTGGCTCATCCTCTGGCAGAAACTGCTGGGAACAACATCCTATTTGTGGAAGACCTGTTTTTTTTAAAGTCCGTTATCAACTTGACATGGCAAGGCTAGAAAGAGGTAAGAAGGGCTTTTTTATTTAAATTCAGGCTAAGGAAATCGGCTATCATTTTTATCCAAGTCAGTTTACCAGCTTTATACAAACTATTCAATGTCTATACTCTCCTCATCCTAGTCTTCTGTTTGCCAGATGTGTGATATTTGTCCCAAGCGTCAGGGGCTGCTAGGTAAACCCTGACCACTCAAAGAGGGTACGTTAAATTGTCTTGGAGGTGAACAGTAACACTTTGATGGATTTTCCATCATCAAAATTAATATTCTTACCAAATACAAAATGAAAACATAGATGTATAGTACATATTTTATGTAATATATAAAATGATATTTATTGAGAGCTTCCCATGTGCTTTTCTGAGTGTTTACGTGTATTAACTCCTTTAATCCTTAAAAACACCTTTATGAGGTAAGGCCTATTATTGTTACTATTGTCCCCATTTTACAGAAATAGAACAGGCACAGCAAACCGAGTACTTTTGGAGATCACACAGCTAATAGGAGAGGAGTGAGGATAGTCTGAATGCAGACTCTGTGTTCTCATCCACTACATTCTGTCTGAAGGCCTGAGCAAGAACAGGTGTCTGGGCTGTTCACAAGGCTCTAGGACAGACCCAGCCTTTTTTATTAGTAGCCTGAATTTTATTTCTACAGGAATGTACCTTCAGCTAAGAATAGAGGCTAACAGTTTTGTTGTCTATTTAAACCAAGTCATAAACACACAGTTCTCTTTGCCTCTTGAAGAAAAAAAAATCAGCATTTGAAGTCAGCATAGGTTTTAGTGATGAAGATTTACTATTGGTAATTTGCACTGGGAAAGTAATTAGCTGCTGCATTTAATTATAGAATGGCCTTCCACATCCCTAGTTTATATGTAGAAATCATACTGCAGGTCCTGAAGTTTCTGTTCTTTCTGAAGTTGGGTAGCCCAGGACAAGAACAAGATAGTCATAAATGTTCTGCATGGACTCACCCAGGATGCCAAGATGTTCCTCTTCAGGGCCTCTCTCCTTTCGATTTGTAAAGGAGGCATCTGTGTACGCACGATAAACCAGCTTTTTATAAGATCCTCCAATTCTTGTAGTACCTCGTTTAAAAAATACCTCGGAAGCACTGCCAAAAGAAAAAGAGTTTAACACTGGAGTTGAAAGCAGAACAGAAAGCAAGTATTCACACAGGAGAAATTGAAGAGAAAATTTATGACCAGTGCCAAATATTTATGATTTGCCAAATATTCAAACAGAAGCAGATGGTACTAGGCACTTCATAGAAAGATGTTCAACATGAGTGGGGTATCATGGTGTAGAAGTTTCACTTTTTCAAATGAAGTGAAAAATTTTAAGATGGCCTATGCCAACCTCTCTCTGATAGTTATTACTCTTTCTACAATAGACTCTTTTAAACAAATTATGAAGGGTTTAAAAATACAGTAGCTATTGTTTATTGCATATTAACACAGCCAGGTACTTAGGAGCTTTCTTTTATTATCTGAAACTTACATGATAAGGTAACAAAGTTGGCATTATTCTCTCCATTTTACAAATGAAGAAATTAAATTTCGGAAAGGCATTTATTTGACTTGCCAAAGTTATCCCATTCATCTCTCCTCCCATTTGACAAATGTACTGGACACCTGCTTCTTGCCAGGAACCTTGTTATGTGCTGATGGCATAACCATAAGCAAGCTGGACCCAGCCCTGTCCACTGTACATCTATCAGAGAAGACAGGCTATGAACCAATCAATATAATCCATCTAAAAACATGAAATAAGCACAGGGTGTTATGGAGCAGTTCTCCTGGGGTTGGAGGAAGTGGTGGGAAGAGGCCCCAAAACCTTTCCAAAGAAAGCAATTTTTAAAAACTTTTGAGAGGAAAGTGAGTTAAAAAGATAAGGTATATGTGGTGGGGAGGATGGGGTGGGTATTTACAAAGAAGAAGTACCCTATGGAAGGCTCCAAGGAAAGAGTGAATATGACATGTTCGACAAGATATGACAGGAGCATAGTGTACAGGGCAGAGCAAAAAGAGCAGAAGAGAGAGAATGAGGCTTGGAGAAATGGGTGGTGGGCAGCAGGACCTAGTTAAAGTTTTACTCCATCCCAGAGCAGTGGGAAAGCTTAGAAAGATGTGAGCATTCAAGAGTAGTGTTTTGAGAGGATCCCTCATGTGAGGAAAAAGTAGACAATTTTTGGAGACATTTAGGGTATAACGAGGTAGTGCTTGGTGAGGAAAGGAGGGGGTGGTGAACTGGGGAGTCAGGGATGGTACTCAGGTTTTGGCTTGAGTAATGGATGGATAGTGATACTATTCACAGAGAGGAGGAAACTAAGATATACAGAGAAGACAATAGGTTCAGATTTGGACATACTGATTTGGAGGGGCCTCATCCAAGTGGGGTGTCTTTTAAGCAACTGGAAATGCAAACCTGAAATTTACAAAACCCTTCTGGGCTGGAGATCCAGCTTTGGAGTCATTGCATCTGGATGTCAGTGTAGACTGGGACTTAAACTTATGCTTCACGAGTCACAGACCTGGGTAGGACCAGGCCCAGCTATTGACCTGTTGGGGTTCATTGAGTAAGTTACTAAACCTTTCTAAGTTGATAGGTTGCAAATAAGGCTTTCCTTAGGAGGTGATATTTGAGCAGAGGCTTGAAGCAAGGGTGTGATACAATCTCATCAACATTTTCAAAAGACTGGGTGCTTCATGGAGAATGGACAGTAGTAAAGGAAGATTGAGTGGGGAAGAATGACTAGGAGGCTGTGGAGGTCATTGGACATGTCCAGGAGTAGTTTCTGTGCATCAAAGGACACTATCAAGATAGTGAAAAGAAAACCTATAGAACAGGAGAAAATACTTGCAAACCATATATGTGATAAGAGATTAATATCCAGAATATATAAAGAAGTCATATACTTTAATAACACCACCACCATAACCAAAAGCAAACAACCCAATTAAAAATGGGAAAAGGACTTGAACAGATATTTCTCCAAATCACCAACAAGAACATGAAAAAATGCTCAACATCACTAATCATCAGGAAAATGCAAATCAAAACCACAATAAGATACAACTTCACACCCAATGAGATACCTATTATAAAAAAATGGAAAATAAATATTGGCAAGGTTGTAGAGAAATTGGAACCCTTGTGGGAATGTAAAATGGTACAGCCACTGTGGACAACAGTATGGTTGCCCCTCAAAAAATTAAAAATATAATTCCATTCCTACGTATGTACATAAAACAATTAAAAGCAGGGATATAAACAATACTTGTACTTCCAAGGTCATAGTTGCATTATTCATAATAGCCAAAGAGTAGAAACACCCCAAATTTCCATCAACAGACAGATGAATAAATAAAATGTGGTTTATGCATACAATGGAATATTATTTAGCCTTAAAGAGAAATGAATCTACGACATCAATGAACCTTGAAAACATTATGCTAAGTGAAGTAAAGCAGACAAAAAAAGGACAACCACTGCATTACTCCACTTGTATTAAGTGCCTAGAATAGGCAAATTCATAGAGATGGAAAGTAGGAGTTATCGGGGATTAGTAAGCCACTATTTAGTGGAATCAGACTTTCTAGTCAGGATGATGACAAAGTTCTGGAAATGGATAGTGTAGATGATTGTACAACTTTGTGAATGTACTTAATGCTGCAGGATTGCACAGTGCTGTGTTTTCATGAAAGGAAAGCAAATGCATCAACCAGTCTACTTATATTCAGTATTTTCTGAGGAATTTGTTGATGATCTAATAATTTTTAAACCCATTTTCTTTCATGAACTCAAAAGTCATATTTCTCAAACTGAGAGTCATAGCAAACACCTTAATAAATATTTAGCGGTCTAGTTACTCAGTTGCAGGTACCAATTAAAATGCTAATTGCTGAATCCATCTTTTATCCTTCCTTCCTTCCTTCCTTCCTTCCTTCCTTCCTTCCTTCCTTCCTTCCTTCTTTTTTTTAGGGAGGCATTTTTTAAAATAAATGTTCTTTTTCTGAACTACCTTCCAGGTGCTGTTAAGTTTTCTTTGGTGAAGTTGTTTAGTCCAGAGGGTGCATAGTCCCAGATGATTTCCTCAGCAGCAATGTAGTAATGTTTAACATATTTCCAGCGGATTTTTTTCTCTGATGAAGGCTTCTTACAGTCTTGCACCTGGAAAAAGGCCTGGAGACCAGCTGAAAATCCACATGGAAGGAGACATTGGTTAATGGAGCCAATGTTTTCCCCTCCTACTGCCTTGTAAACACTGCTGGTGAAATCACAGATGGAAATTGAAGAAATATACAGCTAGAAACAACATTAAAAATTAAACAGTTGTAGATGGAAAATTCAAGCAGTAAAACTTCTCTATATGGCTCAGAGAAGAGATTTTAAACACTAGTTTAAAAAAAAAATACTAGTATTTTTAAAAATAAGGAACCAATCTCTGTAGAGTTTCACTTGGGAGGTCTTTTGATGAGAAAAAAAAGACACATTGATAGATAAGTTAATGAAGAGAGATTTGGCCATATTTAAAGGGGCAGGGTAGAGTGGGGTAGGAGGAATTGAATGAGCATATATGATTATTGTTCTCAGACAAAATAAAAATGGTTACGCACCCATTGCCCTGGGTCTTCTGAGGCCAAAGTCATATTTAATGGGCGAGGTTATGTTTGGAGGTCAGAGTTAACATATTAAAAGACCCAGGTTAGAGTTAATTTCTTCAGGAGATCATTATTTCAAACTAATATTTTTTAAGAGCTAGGAATGTTCTCATGTTGAAGGATGGAGGAGGGATTTAGCAAGTTAAAGAGTAGCTGGATTCAAAGAACAAAGTTGGTAATATTTGACAGAACCAAGTAAAAAAGAAAAGCTACTTTTTTTCACAACATGCAGATCTTCTGGTGTTTACAATATTGTGTATTTTACAAAGCCGAGAAGTTCTATACAGCACTATACTTTAGGACAGGACTCCACATTCAGGACCAGTTGTACTTTTCCCAAAATTAGTATGTTTTCAGATTTCATTACTTTATAAAATTCCAGTCTTTCAGTCTTTTGTTTTATTGCATTATGAGGCATATCATCATAGGAATAAAATTATCCGTTCAAAGTTCAGATTATTCCAAAGACACTGAACTTTTACATTCTGATCCCCAATAGTCACCCCCATTGGTAGTGTAACTGAGACATGACTCTTTTTTCAGCTGACAGTTCATTGTAGGTAAAGATGCCTTACCTTTCAGGTGGTTTAGATTCTGACAGCTAAGCATCCATTCTCCAGGATTCTGGGCCACCATAAAAGCTTCAAAGAGGGTAGCAGGAAAGAGATTGACTGTATCAACCCGGTAGTTCTTATTAGTCAACACTTGACCATGGAAGAAAGCTGCATGCACGTCCACTTCATTACCCATGCCAAAAAGATACCATTTTACTCTATCCTCTGCACACATAGAGAGTCCCGGGAGACTTCCAAAAGTGTATCCATTCACAGCTGTGAATCAAGAGCAGAGATTGTGACTAACAGACACGAATACCTGGGATAATAGTCACCCCTATAGAAACAGAATGAAATTGGGGTGGAAAACACCGGGCACACATCCTGCTGCTATTCCTCCCTCCTATACCCACATCAGACATTGCTAATCAATTGTAGCACCCTTATTTTGGACCTGAATTCAGCCTCAGGAATTTTTTCAACACAACATTAGCAAATGAACACAATACTGAAGATGAAACCTATTTTCTCTCTCTGTTATAAGCTATACATATTAGTTTGTTCACATGTGTATGTGTATTTGAAAATACAAATATGTGCATTTATGCATACATATATACAAAATGTACACACATAAACTGTAAAAAGACTGAAGGTTGTTTAGGAATCAGTCATGTATCATGTTGATAGTTGTAATACAAATGATTTCAATGTTTTCTTTTTGCTTATTAGAACGTTGCCGATTTTCTACAGTGAATATGAATTACTTTTGTAATGAGAACATGAGGAAAACTTTTTTTTTTTTAAATATTGGAAGACAAAAGTGGAAGAGATATGAAGGAGGAAAAAAGGAATTCAGGAAAAGGATCCCAAGGACCAGTACCAGAGCCACAAAGCTCTAAAAGTTCAAAGGCAGGATGACCCAAGCAAGACCCTTTGAAGGAACAGTATCACTATTTAAACCTGGTGGTCTAGAAGTAAGGTGGAAATTAGTTCTGGAAAGCACCGTGAATGTATCTGATACAATAGAAGTATAATCAGACCTCCCCAGACTAGACATTTGAGTATCTTTTTCTAACATCTATTTATGATTAGTGCATAACAGAGGCAGGATTGAAGTATAGAAAGAGGGCCTTCTAGCCAGAAATAACAAAAGCTGGGGGAAAAAAAATCTGTATGCTTCGTTAATTAGTTTATTTTTCTGCTTTGGTCATTGTTTTTATATTCCTGATTTCTGAGTAAAGATTGTTTTTGAAGAAGCTAAACACAAATAAAAATCTATACTTATTGGTCTAGTTGATGTTAACAGATGTGATTTCTTAGGCAAATTCTTAGGGATAGACAATCTTACTAAGCTCATCATTTTGTGTCTGGGGACACTTAAGATTTAAGAATTAAAGAGAAGCCTAGGAGGTAAAGAAAGCATTTCTAAAAGAAATAAAGTGAATTAAAAGATAGAAAAAAATGATGCAGAGGGACAGTGTATATGTAAAAGAAATACCTTTTAGAACTATGTTCCTAAATGCAGTTCGATGCTTTATGATATAAGTATAATTTTAAACATTTAGTTTAATAATTTTAGGCTGCCTCAAATAATTTTTGGAATGAGATTAGAGGATAAACAAATATTTATAAATAAATATGACATGCATATGCATTAAACCATAATTGATGTTTTATCTTTATTAGTTTGGGAACAGTTTGGGATTCCTTTTTTTTTTTTAAAGATTTTATTTATTTATTCATGAGAGACACACACACACAGAGAGAGGCAGAGACACAGGCTGAGGGAGGAGCAGGCTCCATGCAGGAAGCCTGACGTGGGACTTGATTCTGGGTCTCCAGGATCATGCCCAGGCTGTAAGCGGCGCTAAACCGCTGAGCCACCAGGGCTGCCCCAGTTTGGGATTCCTAGTTTTACCTGACACAGAGTTTTGATTTGATCTGTTTAGCTGATATGAAGTTGTATGTTTAATATGCCTCCTTCTCAGGGCCAGAGATTAGAAACACACTACTTATTCATGTGAAGGAATAAACCTAGAAGACTTAATGGATCAAGAAAAATAAGATAAAGTTAACACATTTTCTATGATCTTACAATACATTCTGTTACTCTCCTGGAAGTCTTCATCATCTTTGTCAACTTTCTCTGGTTCAGAGCAATAGGTCTTAATGTTGTCATCTAGGTACCAGCTGAGATTTTCATCCACCACAGAAAACATCACCACAAACTCTTGGTCAATATTTTTTTCTTTTTCATTATCCAGGGTATCTGAAGTGAAAATTGCTATTTTAGTAGAAGTTAATCCTTAGCATGTATTTTTTAGTAGATGATTTACAGCTTTAAAGATTTTTTTCTTATAGTCAAATCTGGATTAGTCACTTCCATTTTACAGATGTGGAAATTGGAAATTTTACGTTAAGTATCCTGGAATTGGAGATACTTATATACCTGGATGTCCACTGACCACATAGCTATTTAACACTTTTTGGCAAATGAAAAGGTTGGAATTCAAAGTCATGTGTATTTCTTCTGGTGCATATAGCCATAAGCTGAGACAATAAGTCTTTGCAGATAACTCATTATTGTTCAAGAAAGATTTATATTTTAAACTCTTGAGCTATGTTGTCTTTTTTATTTAGAAATAGAGACTGTGATCTTATATTTACCAACACAATATGGATAACTACAGACCTATCACCATGGAGTGCTGCTAAGGGGGTCACATTCAGTAAAGTCACACGTCTTTTCGACACCACTGTTGGAAATTGGACACAGCAAACCTCTCTTCCAGGAAAGCATGTTTCTTGCTGCTTCGCAATGTAGTGAATGCTTATTCCACTTATCCCTTCTTTTCCTGCCCTGCTCTTTCTTCCTTTTCTGGATTCACTCCCTTTCCAACTTACCTGGCTTATGTTTTAAAAACAAACTGCCCTGGCACTTGTCTTTTGGTCATACATGAGAATGAACAAGGAAAAAAATGTACCTTTTCTACAGACTATTAAAGGTCCGATGAGTCCTGAGGCAATATCTTTTGGCGCATCAATGTGAGAATGGTAAATCCTGGTCACACAATTGCTATCTTCCTCACCAGGACTGTGATCTTGGCTGGCATCCAATATGTATGTGTACTGCTGACCTGGAAGCACTTTATCATCTGCTTTGTGAGAACCTATGGTGTTATCAGGATAGATGGCCCCTAGGATGGGAAAAATTTATAAAGTGAATGTATTTGAACTTAAATGAGAGAATAGATGGTCCATTAATTTACTCAGCAAACATTTATTCAATTTCTAGTATGTGCCCTCTTGGGGGTGTAGTGATGTCCTATTTGAACAGAGAAGAGTAAGAGGCTAATGACTAGGGGGTTTGGAAGTTTTACAGTTTGGTTATTATTTTTTATACATACTGAATCTTAGGGGAGGAGTAATAGAGAATAGTGACTTTTGGTTTACAATTTAAAGAACCACTTTTGCTCTGGGGTCATGGTATGGAAGTATGAGCAAAATGGCTACACTCTCATAACTTGAAACATCTTATGTGATATCAAATTTTTGCCCATGAAGCAACTATGGATCTTTAAAAATTTTGTACTTTTAATTTTGGAAATTTCCAAAAATATGTAAAAGTTAAGAAAATAATACGATGAACTTTCATGTACCCATCAACCAAGCTTCAACAATGATCAACTCAAGGGCAATCCTGTTTCATCTATACCCCCACTCTTATTTCCATCACCATCGAATTATTCTTTAAAATTTTTTTTTTTTTTAAAATTTACCTATTCATGAGAGACACAGAGAGAAAGGCAGACACACAAGCAGAGGGAGAAGCAGGCTCTCTGCAGGGATCCCGACATGGGACTCCATCTGGGACTCTAGGATCACGCCCTGGACCAAAGGCAGATGCTAAACCACTGAGCCACCCAGGCATCCCACCATCAAATTATTCTAAAGCAAATCCCAGGAATCATATAATTTCATTCATAAATACTTGAATATGTACCTCTAAAGGATAAGAACTCTTTTTTTTTCTTTTAACAGAAACACAATGTAACTACCATATCTGAAAAATGAGTAATGCCCTAATATACCATGAAATTGTAAAAAAAAGAAATAAGATAGCAGTCAGCCTCTATGCTATGAATGTGTTTGTGTCAGAGGAACAAACAGAAATATATGGTCAAAACAACCACTTTCTAAAGCAATACCTCTTTAAAAAAGTTAATAATTGATTTTAAAAATCTAATTTTATTTTCATTTCCAGATTTAATCTTTATAATTTCAATTAGCATAGCCTCCGCATTTTCGCTATGATAATACCTGACGTCGATTGAGCTATTACTATGTACTATTATTGTCCTTGTTTTATGGGTGAGGAAACTGAAGCACAAAGATTTTAAGAAACTTGTCTATGATCATTCAGCTGGTAAAAGCAAGGCTGTCTTCCAAGTTTGGTCTATTGCTCTCAAAGCCTTTGCTCTTATCCACAACAAAACACCACTTCTTTTCATCATTGTTACCATCATCAAGTACTAAAAATGAGATCAGAGATGTCAAATCTAATCTGTGTCTTCCTATACCATCATTAACGTTTCTAAGTCCTACATTCCAATGGCCTTCTGGTTACCTGTATCTCAGCTGTGACTCTGGGGTCATGCAGACACATGGACCATTTGGCTGACGTGGGAGACTACCCAGACCGCCTTAGCAGAGATAGAGTTTATCCCCAGTTAGCCTGGGACGTGACAATGGCCACATCGTGTTCTCACACAGGAATTTCAGAGGTGAGACGATCCTGATCTCGAGACCTGTTTCCTCCCTTTGAATCTTTGCCTTTTCTAGGCCTTAATGCACAGTGCCCGGCTCTCTCATTCTCTTTAGCTGGCGAGTTGTGGGCCACTGGGAGGGAAGTCCCAGTTCTCACTGACTACCTTACCACGTTCACACTGCACACAAGCAAGCACCACCAAGGGAAACATGGCATTATTATGATGAACCAAAATACTTATTAATGAAATAGTTTCGAGCTAAACGACATAGTTACAGGTCTTATCCAGGAGGGGAGGACATAATCTTAGGAGTTAAAAAAAAAAATGCTCCTCCTGAAAATTAAGAAGAAATTCCAGCTAGAATATGAGCTGAACTTACCCTCATATTCCTTACGGTAAGTTATTCCATGTGGATGAAAAGTGTAGGGCCTAGAGGCGAAGTTTTTTAAGTGTACATAAACCTTATCTCCAATTTCAGCTTTGATAATAGGGCCTAAAAACCCCAGCCAGACAGGTTTTTCTATAACTGTCTTAAAGGTTTCGTTCGTGTATTGAAGATAAAGGGCCTTCTTATATAACCTTCCAATTCTATTTGGGCCATTTTGAAGGTAGATATTGGAATGTTCCCTGAAAAGGAAAAGAAGACAACTCTATCAGGAGCCATCACTTCTGGAGATACATTGTAATTATAACACCTCATGTAATTAAAGAGAAATTAATAACTATATCACATTAAATGTTTGCCTATCATTTGTAGGGATGCTTCCAAAAGATGAAGAGGTGAACAGGCACTTACCGTGCTGTTTTAATTATGTGAGGCCTCCCACGTCAGGTGTGTAGCAGAGAATCATGTGGTATCTTACTCTGGTAAGATACACCTTTTTACAGGTTTTTTATGTTAAAACACAGAGGCATTATGAAATAGAAGACGAAATTAAAGTGAAATATTAAGATAAAGCAGGTAAGACATTACTCACTTAGGGTATACCTCTTTCAGCTGCTAGAAAAGAAAAGTTTATAAGCAGTTAATCTGGATATTTGAGACTTCAACACGTGTATATATTTGTTTTCCTAAATAAAATTAATGATGCTAAATTAATTCTACCATTTTTCTTTCTAAAGAAAAGTACTAAACCAAGATTGGAATTGGGGATCCCTGGGTGGCTCAGTGGTTTGGCACCAGCCTTCAGCCCTTACAGTATGATCCTGGAGTCCTGGGATCGAGACCTGCATCCGGCTCCCTGCATGGAGCCTGCTTCTCCCTCTGCCCGTGTCTATGCCTCTCTCTCTCTCTCTCTCTCTCTCTCTCTCTCTCTGTGTGTGTGTGTCTCTGATGAATAAATAAATAAAACCTTTTAAAAAAAAAGATTGGAATTGATGCGTGCAATATGTATGGGTTTTAAAATTATCTTGCCCTTATGTTCTTTTAATCCCTTGCTACTGAAAATACTTGAACACTGAATGTTTATATTCTGCTTCACGGCTGATTAATAGTCACTCAAAACTTTTCTGAAAATATTCGCAAAGTAAATGGTAGCCAGGTTGGAGGAGCAGAGGGGAGAGGACGAGAAGGACAAGAAAGGAAAAGAAGGAGAATTTGGTATTCAGACTTCTTTAAAAATTTAAATTCAGGTAGTGGTATTCAAACATTTAAAGTGATTCTTATGTTGTCCTTAACAGAAGGCTCTGGATAGCTCAGTGAGATGTTTGTAACACCATCTACCCATTTAGGAGGACCCACTTAAACCCGGATTTTGGCAAGCTCCCACCACAAATGAGATCTCCCTCAGTGGAATAAAAATGCTAACACTCAGGCTGATGATCTGGAGTTTGTGTTTCTTTGTGTGAGTGTATTTGTGTGTGTGTGTATGTGTGTATTTTGCTAACTTTCACCTCAGTGACCTTTGATGCCTTACGGTTTCTACTTAATCCCTGTGGAGCCGGATGATCTGACTGAGAAATAAACTTCATCTTCTTTTCTCAGCTTAAATTCATTGGAAAGAGTGAAAGATACTTTTGCTTCTTTTCTTCAAGACAAGAGGAGCGCTTGCCTGGGAGCTCTGGACTTCTGTTGCTGCAGAACTTAAATGGCTAGTTTTTAAAAAATCTAGGGTTACAGCCTAATATTTCTTAAGTTTTAATGTGCATGGGAATCTACTGAAGACGTTGGTGAAATGCAAGCTCCTGAGCCCAGCCCAGATGCGCACCATCAGAATCGATGGGCCTGGGGCTCAGGCACTCGTAGTGACCGACTGACACCCCAGTGTGTTCTGTTGTGGGCAGGAAGCTCTGGGCCCTGGGTAACATGAGGCTCCAAAATGAAGGGGAAGAGAGCAGCCTAATCCCAGAGGCAGTGGGATTTCTCAGGATTGTGAGATAGGAAGGTGGCAGGCTCTGTTTCCAGAACATACGCTGGCAATGGCCAGACCCCTGTTGGTATAGTTGCATGAGGACATCAGATTAAAGCTGAGTCCTGGAGCCAGGGAGCACAGCTGCCCCACAGTGGTTCTGGTGGCTGAATTTGGGCAGCAGCAGGTGTTGAAAACAGCAGAGCACAGGATGTCTGGGTGGCTCAGCGGTTGAGCACCTGCCTTTGGCTCAGGGCATGATCCTGGGTTCCGGGATCGAGTTCCGCATCGGGCTCCCTACGTGGAGCCTGCTTCTCCCTCTGCCTGTGTCTCTGCCTCTCTCTCTGTGTCTCTCATGAATTAATAAAATCTAAAAAAAAACACAAAACAAAAACAAAAACAAACAAACAAACAAAAAACCTAAAGAAAATAGCAGAGCACCCTGCCCTGAGTTGAGCGGAGGACTTTGATGAGTATCTCATCATTGTCACCATACACCGAGGACCCCACTTTTTCCAGATTGTGTGAACTCCAGGATTCTCAAATTGTTGGCTGAGAAATGAACCCTTTTAACGGAAAGGGGGCCAAGCTAGAAGTCAGAAAACAAAGGAGTGACATCTTTTGCTTCGTTTCTCCTAATTTGTCTTCGTTTTCTAATTGTTGGAGTTTCCATTTCGTTAGAACAAAATAGAAAAACGAATTCAGGGAGGCTCAGAGGGACTTCAGGGACATCAAAATGCACAGGAAAACAGCAGGCCAGGGGTGTGAATTGTTCCTCTCACACTGCAGCGTTGGTATGAACGAGAGCAGTCTTAATAAGCAGATGTTTTAACAGCAGCAAAATTCTGAGGCACTGAAGGCCGCTGAGATTAAAAGCAGATTCAACCAGCCCATCCTGCTGCGAGGAGGTGCACGAGTACAGTTTGAGAGAGACACACAAGAGCTGGAGCACAGCTCCCAGGGCAGAGATAGGTTCTTCCCCAATCACACCAGAAGGCCCGGGCCCACGTGGTCTCACACAGGCCCATCTGAATCTGAGGGTAAATTTTCTCCGGTGTCTCCTATTGGTAGAGATTCATCCTGGTGATACTTAGAGATTCAAATCCATGCTCTGAAATGCCCTGTTGATACACTTTTACATAGGCCAAAGTTTTAAAATAGCCCTCAAATTCTTTTTTTTTTTTTTTTTTAAATTTTTATTTTTTTATTTATTTATGATAGGCACACAGTGAGAGAGAGAGAGAGAGGCAGAGACACAGGCAGAGGGAGAAGCAGGCTCCATGCACCGGGAGCCCGACGTGGGATTCGATCCCGGGTCTCCAGGATCGCGCCCTGGGCCAAAGGCAGGCGCTAAACCACTGCGCCACCCAGGGATCCCTAGCCCTCAAATTCTTAAGGCTTCCCTCCAATACACTGGGTGTTTCTATTTTCTGAATGTGACTCTGAAACACCTGGGAATATGTCACATCCCATTTCAATAAAATGTAGTGGGTTTTGTTGGAATGCCTTCATTGCAAGAAGTTCCCCCGTGTACTAATCACCTCTCCATACAGGAGGAGCATTGCCAAAGTTTCGGGATTCATTCTTTGTACACAGAGATTTGGGGGGAGGCAAAAACTGTTTTTGAAATAATTGATCTGGAGTTACAACACATTCGGGGTTGTTAACATTTGAAACTCCTTTTATATTCATAGCAATATGCAAAATGTTTCCCATCTTGTTTTTTTTTTAAATAAAATTAACCAAATGGGGAAATATTTTGTATCACGTGATAACTCTGGGGGAGGTCTATTGGATTATGTTCTGTCTCCAAAGGAACATCAAAGGATCATTAGAAGATGGAAGATGTCTATTTAATTTCAAGAGCACAGCTTGGGACAAGGGTCAGTTACTGGAAGCTTGCAGGAAGTTTGACAGTCAGATATTCAGTCAAACGAATCCATTACAGTTGATCTTTGAACCAGATAATTTACATTAATTGCAGTTCTTCCTGTTGACAATTGTAACATGCTCTTTTCTACTCATTACAACAGATAGTCTCCCTCTCAGTAATCATATCCCTCTTTTTTATCCCCCCACCCCAACTTCTAGAATCCTATAGCCAACTCTTATAATTGTTGGTAGATTCAGACTCAGAAGTGAGTTTTTAACGGTAGTGGAATTAAAAAAAAAATTATACTGACTTATTAAGATGGTAATAATGCTACATCCTTCCATAAATTCAGAATGCACTTGGGTTGTCTTGGTTTATGTTTAAACATGATTACTAAAATGTGGATAATACATGGGAAAAGTTTCTGGATTCTTGGCTTTATCAGTTGAGACACAGAACATTAGTTTTCTATTGACAAATAATAAATTATCACATAGCAGCCTAAAACAACACCCATTGGGGATCCCTGGGTGGCTCAGCGGTTTAGCACATGCCTTTGACCCAGGGCGCGATCCTGGAGTCCCGGGATCGAGTCCCACGTCAGGCTCCCTGCATGGAGCCTGCTTCTCCCTCTGCCTGTGTCTCTCCCTCTCTCTCTCTATCATCATCAATCAATCAATCAATCAATCTTAAAAAAAATAAAAATAAAAAAAATAAAACAACACCCATGGATTATTTCACTGCTCTGTGGGTCAGAAGTCGGGCACGGCATAACTGGCTTCTCAGCTTAGGTTATCACAAGGCTGACATCAAGGTGTTGGCTGGCCTGAGCGCTCATCGTGGAGGCACTGGAGAAATCCACTTCTAAATTCATCCAGGTTATTGGTAGAATTCAGTTCACTGTGGTTGTAGGATTGAAATCTCCATTTCCTGGCTGGTGGTAAGATGAGGACCTTGCCTTAACCAGCTCTTCATGGCCCCCCCATTTTCCTTCTCAAGTAGCCTCTTCTATATGCAAGTCAGCAGCAGTTTGTTGAATCACCTCAAATCTCTTTTCTTCTTCTTCTTCTTCTTCTTCTTCTTCTTCTTCTTCTTCTTCAAGAATTCTCTGGTTTAGATTAGGCACATCCTTTCTTTCTTTCTTTCTTTCTTTCTTTCTTTCTTTCTTTCTTCTTTCTTTTTCTTTCTTTTTTTTAAATTCAATGTAGTTAGCATATACTGTATTAGCTTTGGGGATAGAATTTAGTGATTCATCAATTGCATACAACACCGAGTGCTCATTACATCATGAGTCCTCCTTAATACCCATCACCCAGTTACCCCAGTGCCCCCCCAACCTTCAGTAACCCTTTAGTTCTAGAGTACAGCATCTCTTATGGTTTGCCTCCCTGTCTGATTTCATCCTATGTTATTTTTCCTTCCGTTCCCCTATGTTCATCTGTTTTGTTTCTTAAATTCTACATCTAAGTGAAATCATATGGTATTTGTTTTTCTTAGACTGCCTTATTTCACTTAGCATAATACCCTCTAGTTCCATCCACCTGGTTGCAACTGGCAAGATTTCATTCTTTTTGATGGTTGAGTAGTAGTCCATTGTGTATAGACTTTTCTTTATGCATTCATCTGTCGATAGACATCTAGGCTCTTGTCATGTTTTGACTATTGTGGACATTGCTGCTATAAATATTGGGGTGCATGTGCCCCTTCAAATCACTATGTATCCTTTGGATAAATGCATAGTAGTGCAATTGCTGGGTCTTAGGATAATTCTATTTTCAACTTTTTGAGGAACCTCCATACTGTTTTCCAGAGTGGTTGCACCACCAACAGGAACAAGAGGGTTCCCCTTTCTCTGCATCCTTGCCAACATCTGTTGTTTCCTGAGTTGTTAATTTCAGCCATTCTGACTGGTGTGAGGTGGTATCTCATTGTGGCTTTTATTTGTATTGCCCTGATACTGAGTGATGTTGAGCATTTTTTCATGTGTCTATTGGCTATTTGTTTGTCTTCTTTGGAGAAATAGCTATTTATGTCTTCTGCTCATTTCCTGATTGGATTATTTGTTTTTTGGGTGTTGAGTTTGGTAAGTTCTGTATAGATTTTGGATACTAGCCACTTATCTGATAAGACATTTGCAAATATCTTCTCCCACTCCTTAGATTGCCTTTTAATTTTGTTAACTGTTTTGTTTTTGCTCGGTTATCATCCTATTTTAAAGTCAACTGCACCATTGAATTAGTATAGATCATGAGAGTGATAACTCATCATATGCACAGGTTCTGGAGGTTTAAGGCCACCTCTAATGTGATGGATAAGGAGATGGGGCCTCTGGGATGTGCCTAGGTCATGAGAATGGAGCCCTCATAAATGGTATTAGTGCCTTCTGAAAACGGCTCCAGAGAGATTCATAGCTTCTTCCACCATGTGAGGACACAGTGAAAAGGCTATGAACCAGAAAGAGAGCTCTTACTAAAACATGGCCATGCTGGTAGCTTGGCTTTGGACTTCTTGACCTCTAGAACTAAAAAATATATTTCTGTTGTTAATAAGCTACCCAGTCTGTTATATTTTGCTATAGCAGCCTGAACAAACTAAGACATGCTGGTAACTGGAGACAAAGAAGGGAGAGCAAGTTGCTACCTACACTTGTCTATACAAAAAGTTTAGTATGCTATTGGTGAAATTTCTAAAACTCTGTTAAATAGTCACAGTTTAGATATTTTTTTTAAAAAGATCACAGGCAGAATGAGCAGTGCCATTTAGAATTCGTACGACTCTAGGCTGTTGTTGAAGCCACAGGTTACCAAACCAATGTTGCATAACCTCCCTGAGCACAGACAAGACAAAAGAATATTTAAAACCGAAGGAATTCACTGCCCCCCAACCCCATTTCCCACCATTCTTAATAAACTCTCTCCTCTTTCACCTTTGGAGTTACAGATTTCTTTATTAAAGGTTGCTTGGGCAATGTCTTGCACTTAGTTTATGCCCAGCAAAGCTGATTGGATTTTTGATCATGAATAACAGCAGAAGAATGGTGGATGGGGGCATGGAATATAGCAGTGCTTTTTTTTTTTATGTTTTGTTTCCTTATAGAAATATAATTTATATTGTATTTAATCAGGGAAAATACTGCATTCATACAAAATAATTTGGTGAAATCATGAAAATAGGTCATTTTCCTAAGAAGAGAATACTACCTCAAAACCAGATTTAAGAAAAAATTATTGCAAGAGGTATTAGTTTTGTTAACAATCAGTAATTTTTAGGCCAGAAACTTTTCTTACAGCATATTATGAAATTAATTATTTAACAATTAGATGTTATTGTCAGCTATGCATTTATTTCTTACTGTGAAAAATTTCAAACACACATAAAATGAATGAGAACAGCATATACCCCGTCAACAGAATCAACAATTAAGAAAATTGGCATACTTGCTTAGCTATTTTTAAAGATATAATTTTACCAGCTGATGGTCATTGGGCTTATTTGCGCTTTATCACAATTAAAATACATTTTTTAAAGTAGTGAGCATTGGGTGTGGTGAAAAATAATTAGCATTAAAAGTAATGACCTCAGTATAAATTTCCATTATAAAAATGTCAAGGAGAATCATACTCTTGTTTCTCTATATGGTGACTATTGCTTAAAATAAGGGGCCTTTCACCTAAAACATGAAAACATGTAAGTTACACAGAGTCTTTTGGGGGGGGACCATTGCAATAGATTAACTCACAGTTTTTCTTCATGTGTGATGTACCAAGCACTGTACTAAGAGCTTTATGTACACACTCTTCAAAGAACCCTATGAGGTCTTCTTTATCCCCATTTTACGGGTTAGCAAGCTGAGTCTGAGAGAGACAAACTAAATTAACTGTCCAGAGTCATCCAACAGGTATTGGGCACAGTTATATTTGTTAAAATTGTGTTTTATTTCTATGAATGACCTTTTAAAGGAATGAAAAAAAACATTGTATTCTTATGTACTAATAATCAATAAACGGTATAATAAATATAACATTTTACATAGCCATTGCTTAAAGAACTTCTGCATAAACAGACAAGAAGACTGAACCCTGATGAAAGATGCAATAATAACCAGAGGAGGTAATAAGGAGCCCCTGCAGACTCCCCAGGACCAAAGGGAAAGAAGTAGGACAAGCCTTCCTCCTCGACAAAAAATGCCCAGGAATTTAGAGGAGATTTATTAAAGTTTCCTGGATTCCAAGTCCACATTTTGCAGTTTCTGTAGACAACAAATTAATAAAATAATTTATCTTACTGTTTCAATTTTTTAATTCACAGCTTATAAATTCGGTCTGTAAACAATAAAAATAGTGACTTACGTGTCAACTGAGATAAGTTTCTTCTCCTTGTTGTCAGAGGCATAGTCCCAAGTTGTTTCAACAATTCCGATGTAATAATGCTTCTCTTTTGCCCAGGCAGAGTTACTATATAAAAACAGAAAAATTCCCAGCAGCAAAATCTTCATTATTTTTCTCCTGGTGGAGCCTGAGAAGCAATAAAGTGAAATCAGAAGCAGACAATTTTATAAATAAGGCTTTCTTCCTTTATTTGCTTGATTGACACAACTTAATGTTGCACAAAAGTAAATGGTTTCGTCAAAGCAAATAACGTTTCCCACTTAGGCTCAGTTCTCGTAAACCCAGAAAGAAAAGTTTTCTGTTGCCAGGCTTCTCTGATTACAAATAAAAAGTCAACAGTTATTGTTGGAGCCACTAGAGTGTGCATAACATTGCTTTCTTCCATTTATTGTGTAAATTCCAGGAGGGCAAAAATCATCTCTAAATGCTCCCTTTGTTCTTTGAACAATAAGCCACAGTACAGTGCCCTGCACGCAGTGAACTTTTAATAAATTGGGAGGAAATTATGCAAAATGGTTTAAAACAGGTCACTCTTTACTTTTGAAATGGCTAACAATACTTAGTTACAACTTGATGATACAAAACATGGTATTTAGCATGCCAAATTTAAGTACCCCACAACAAGAATCTTATTTTGAAGGATTTATCTATTTTGTATGCTCTGAACACACCTGCATAGAAATTTTACCAGATTATTCTGCCTTGCTATATGCAAATAACCAACAGAGCATAACAGGGGTTGCTAATTCTGCTTTATCATTAAAGATATCAGACATCAGTAAATCAGTTTTCAAAGGCAAAGGTTGGTCTTAGCAAATGGTAGTTTATTATCAGAGTAAACAGAAGTTTATTAGCAGAAAATCCTGGTTGTAACACTGCACACTTTGTGTTAATATGACCTTTGCCTCCAGAATCCTTCAACGCACTATTATTTGCCCAAAGTTTATAGAAATAGATTGGTATAGGAGAAAGGATCCTGATGTTTGGACAATTCGTTAATTTAAGAAGTATTACAGAGAGAGCCTGCTGTGTGCCAGGCCCTGTTCTAAGTGCCTGAATCCCTACCTTCATCAGCTTACCTTCTACTTGTTGATAATGTACAAATGAAGAGTGAAATAGCTAGTATCAGCAGCAAGTACTATGGAGAAAAACCAATCAGAGAGGGACAATAATGAGTGCCAGGGAAGATAGCGGGATGAGGATCAAAATCTCATGGCACCATGTCACATCAGGCAAGATACTTAACCTTGGCCTCAGTTTCCTCACCTGTAAAATCTCAGGCCCAGGAGACTGATATCCAGGTGGTAATTGAAATGATCCATCATATTAAGGCACATAGTAGAGATGCTTCTCTCACCAGGTCCTAATAATGGTAACTAACTGCCCTGATACAGAAAGCTGAGTCACATTGCCCAGGATGTCCTGAGACCTCCTTCTAGAGCCACCTTTAACTATTGTGCCCCCATGCCCACTGAGAGGACCACTGCCCCAAATCTACCCCTACAGCAAATGCTGTTCCCTTTCAATACTGGAACCTCAGAAGGGCTCCTATTTCCAAATGGTCTACTCAGAGGGGACATCTTTTAGCAGTTCGTTCCCCCAAAGGAAGAATGGCACAAAGCCACCATATGGGCCAGCAACTTGCTGGGCATTTCGGTCTTTCTCATTGTCTACTCCATGCTCAAACTCAGCCCCGAGGGATGTGAGGACAGTGATCAGATCACAGCAATAGTCCCGTCACTTTTTTCAGCTCATCTACCTCACACACACACACACACACACACACACACACACACTAAATTAAATTAAATTAAAAAACGTTAACAGGTAGTTACTGAGGTCTTCTATAGCATCCCTTATATTGGTGGTGAAATGAAATGGTTAAATAGTAACACCTCTGCCCAGTGGGAGTAAATATTTTATGTTGCAATGCAGAAGGAGTCAAGAAGTCCATATTTCTGTCCTCTTTTGTGACAGTTACCTTTCCTACTAAAAGGCAGAGAGCTGCTGAATGGCTGGGAGTAGGGGGAATGCTCTGAGCCTCAGGACTGTCTAAATAAAAGAGGCCGCTGTGGGCTAATGAGCAACCAGCCATTGATGGGGTCATTTACTGCAAACCCCCTTACAGTGATTCCAGAGTTGGTACTCAAAAGCGAACTTTGAATAATGTTGCAATTGAGAACTCCTGTGGTCAAGAAATGTGTCCCAGCCTCCGCATAAGCTGGGGTGAGACGGGAAGGGCAGGGAGCCCACCAGGAGAGGCTCAGCAGCCTCAGAGCATTGCAAGAAATAAGAGAGGAACCCCGATGGGACCAAATAGCTCATCCACTTACCTGCAGCTGTCAGAAGGTTGTTACCTCAGAACCCTGGGGGACACCTTTGTAGTTTGTTATAAGTAATTACTGCACACCCAAGGTAACTGTTTATAACCTGAGCAGAGTGACATAGCACACGTTTTCATCATTTTCCACAATTTCTTTCTTTGTCGTCTTAAAGATTTCTGGATTGAGTGAGTCTTACCTGTGTTTAGCGATTAAAATCCTGGGGCTGGGGGCTCCTGGGTGGCTCAGTCGGTTAAGGGTCTACCTTCAGCTCAGGTGATGGTCTCAGGGTCCTGGGATCAAGTCCTCAGTTGGGCTCCCAGCTCAGTGAGCATCTACTTCTCCCTCTGCCCCTCTCCCCCAACTGGTGCTGGTGCCCACACACGCGCTCTCTCTCTCAAATAAATAAAGAAAACCTTAAAAAAAAAAGATTTAAAAAAGAAAAAGATCCTGAGGCTGATAATGGCTAAAGTCAAGGAAGCTTTAGCTTTATATCTGTCCGGCAAGATTCAATCTCTCCTTACCTCCACAATTCCTGTTTATACCCTCAAGTTTCTTTTTGGTTGATTCATGAAAACTGGCTTTTAACCTAGTTTACCAGAGTTACTAAGAAACTCGCAGCCAAGGACAGTCTTTCACTTTGTGACAGCAGGAAGCGCTGAGTATAAAACAGCAGGTCATTCTGTACATGACCAGTCAGACCACCACGATGTTATCTTTTTCAAAGGAAATTGTGTAACTCTGGAATTTTATCAGTGAGTGTGGTTATGTACAGAACTCTGATAATGAGTCCCCTGACTTGAACTAGTATAACACAAGCTCGACTGATCCTCTGCTCTTCTACTACTCAGTTCATGACTGTTTAGGGACTGATCACACAGATTGGTCTTTGGTTGCTCCATATCCCCTTTGGCTGCCCATTAACGGGTCAAGGTTCTGTTCATCACCCTCTGCAAAATATGTCACAGGCAGGAAAAGAGAAAAGTCTAGATTCCAATCTAGCAAAAGCCTCGATGGTGTTGATGCCCCCATCACAACGGGAAAGATTTGTTTTCTAACAGCTTAAGGATTCCATTTCCTCCATCCTTGTTATGCTGTGAGCAATGTAGAAATCAAAGTATATGATTTGTTAGCAATGAAAGAGAACTGAAATAGTAGAGTTATTTTTTATAAAAGATTAAAGAATAACCTATTCACAAGGTTTGATTGCATACAACTTCAATGTGTGACTTTCTTTTTAAAAAAATGATTTTATTCATTTATTTGAGAGAGGGAGAGAAGCAGGAGCAGGGGAGGGGGAGGGGGAGAGGGAGAGGAGAAGCAGACTCCCCACTGAGCAGGGAGCCCATTGTAGGGAACTCCATCCCAGGACCCTGAGATCTCGACCTAAGCTGAAGGCAGATGCTTAATCAACTGAGCCACCCAGGCACCCCTCAATGTGTGGCTTTCTTGAAACATTTTTCTCTCTTGCTGTGCTTAGCCTCATTCCCTCTTGCCTCTATTCCATGCTGGGGTAATACATTCGGTATAGCTCTTGACACTTTGATTTGTGCCTGAGTCTTAATTTATAAAAGATGACTCCGTGATGACACAAAGAGGCCAATGCCATGGAAAGAAAAATTATAATTCCCCTAGAAACAAGAGGCACACATGTCATGCAGGGCTGGTTGTTCAGGAGGCAGAAGCAGATACTGGGGAAAGGATAGGCCGCAGCCTTTATTGAGGTTTGTGTAGGAAAGGCAAGGTAGGGCAGAGTAAATAGCTTATGACTGATCAGTTTAAATGATCTCAGAGGGCTTTGGGACATAGGAACTGTCTCTAGCTGTTTGGAACTTGGCTCAGATTGAGGTAGGGCAGAGGAAATATGGTTTGGTGTGTGATTTACATAAAGGAGATGGTTGGGGGTATGGATTCGGGGATGAGTGGGTTCACATATTAAAGTCTGGCTCACTCACCTGCAAGCTGTTCACTATCTCTAGGAATTAACTAGCTCTGGGAGGGGCAGTCTTTTCTCAGCTAGCAAGGTCCTCAAATATGTCAAGGCATCATTAAATAGTGAAAATTAAAAACATGATTAAGACATATTTCATATCAGAATGATCTGTTTATGTGACTATTCCCTCCTCAATTAGACTGGGCTTTCTTTCTTTCTTTTTTTTTCTTAAAGATTTTATTTATTTATTCATGAGAGACACAGAGAGAGAAAGAGAGAGAGAGAGGCTGAGACACAGGCAGAGGAAGAAGCAGATCTATGCAGGGAGCCTGCTATGGGACTTGATCCCGGGTCTCCAGGATCACGCCCTGGGCCAGAGGTGGTGCTAAACCGCTGAGCCACCCAGGGATCCCCTAGACTGGGCTTTCTTGGGGCCAATGACTACGCCTTATTTTGTCTTAAATCCCAGGCACTTAGCACAGTTCTTGCCACACGGCTTAATAAAAACTGAAAGAATGAAGAAATGTTAACTCTAGGAAGAGTCACTAACATTTATTAAATGATTACTGTGTACCAGCACAATTCCAAGAGCTTTGTAAATTTTATTTCATTTAATCCTCACAACAACCAATTGGGTAGATGTAGTAGTGTTCTTTTTTATTGCTGTTTTAACAAATCACCACTAACTCAGTTGCTTAAAACAACATAAATTTAATACCTTATAGTTCTATATGTCAGAAACCTGACACCTATAGCACCGGGCTGAAATCAAGGTGTCAGTGAGGCTGCATTCCTTTTTGGAGGCTCTAGGGGATAACCCATTTCCTAGCCTGCTCCAGTTTTTAGGGGCTGCCCACATTCCTTGGCTCATGTGGCGCCCTTCTATTTTCAAAGCCAACAATGGCAGGTTGAGTCCTGACATGGCATCTTTTTGACCTTCTCCTCTGCCTCCCTCCTCTACTGTTAAGGGCCCACCATGATAACCCTGAATAATCTCCCTATCTTAAAGTTAGTTGATTGGCAGCCTTAATTCCATCTGCAACCTTCATTCTTCTTTGCCATAGACAATAACGAGTCATAGGTTCCAAAGATTAGGATAAGGACATCTTTAGGGAGCCATTATTTTGCTTATAGAATATCACAAATAGATATTATTATTTTTATTATTGTCTTCATTTTACATGAGGAAACTATGGGTAAGAGAGATTTTATACCTTGTCGAAGACCCCGTAACTAGTAAGTGGCACAGATGGAGTTCAAGTTTGGCCTGCCTGACCCAGAGATGCACTGCAATCCTGAGAGCATTGGAGCATGGATTCAGATGTTTCAGTTGGGCTTCCCAGTATCTCTGTGTTGTTATTTCTGCTACAAAGGCTACATAGCTCTTTCCCAGCCTTCCTTGCAGTTAGGAATAGCCAGATGATAGGGGTTTGACCAGTGAGACGCAGAAGTTGGCTGGGTTTCCTCAGAAGATTTTTTGCTTTCTTGATAAAAGGAGAATGTATGGTTGATGCTACTCTTTCTTCCTTCTTCTCTGCCTTCAATGTGGATGCAATATTTGGAGTTGCAGCAACAATCTTGCAACCATGAGGCCACAATCATGAGGGAAAGGCCAAGGGCATTAAAGACACCGGCCCTTGCACCATGAAGTTGCTGAACCAATCCTAGCAACCTCCTGATTTACTTAAAATTTGAGACAAACACCATTGATAATCCCCTTAGCTGGGTTTTCAGTTACTTGTAGAACACATCCCAAATGTTAACATTGCTAGATACAGAGTCAGAGCATGAGTCCTTATTTTTGGTTCTGGAAAACTGACACTTAAACATTCTAATCTGTATTATAGTCTAACAGTAATATATGGATTTGCATTTTAAAGACTGATTCAGATTCTCATCCATGCTATGAGAATTTCATTTTTTTTGTTTGCTGATGTTGCAGTTTAGATTGTGTGTTTTTTTTTCTAACTGAGCTAGATTCAGATTGTACCTACCCTCATTTTCCTTTTGCCACCCCCTTTGTGATGTTGTAAACTTTGTTATACCACTACAGACTCTACTCCAGTGGCACAGTTTACATAAAGAGGAAGCAGCTTGCACACAAAATTGACAAAAACAAAAACAAAAACAAAACTTTATTTCAAACTAGTTTTCCTGGGAGATTGCCATGAAAGTCTTTAGCCAGGCCCTCCTAAATTCCTTCATCCTTGGTTTTCTTCTTCAGCAACTTTCCCTCTGCTCATGGACTTGTCAACATTCACATCAGAAAGATATTTGTGCTCTGGAAAAGAAAGTTTCATGATGTTCTAAGGAGTAACTGAATCAAAATATTACAATCATTGTTCCAAGAGACCAAAGGGTAATGACTTCATGGATAGCCTAAGTAATGAAGGAGCTATTGAAAATCTCAGAAACAAAGATAGTATTTTCATCCTAAGGTTGTTATAAAATGTGTTGAAGAAAAGGGAGATACGAATGAGAAGGAAAAAAGTGTCACTTGAATATGAAAAAACATGTAATCATTATTTAGTTTCTTTCAAGAGCTGTGGAAACACTTTATACTTCCTACCACTGCATATGCAATGCACCCATCTTACCACACTGTTACATTATCTTTGAAAAAAATAAATCTTTGCCAAATCAATAGCTTCCTTACTCAAAAAAATGTATCTGACTGTAGTTTAAATGCAATTTTTAAGTAATTTCTTATTAACAATGCTAAATATCTTTATAGGCTCAATAGGCATTTGTGGTTCATCTTCTATAAATTGCTCAAATCCTTATGCATATATTATATGAATCTGGAAATAATGCATTTAACTCTAGAGTATCTTTTATCACATCAGAAACAGTTATCTAAGTTTGAGAAAGAAGATAAAACCAGTTTCTTGGTCATCTCAAAACAGTAATTTTTTTTTAAGATTTATTATTTGAGAGAGAGAGAAAATGTGAGAGAGCATGGTGGGGGAGGGGCAAAGAGAGACGAAGAGAGAGAATCTCAACCAGACTCCTAGCTGAGCACATAGCCCAGCATGGGGCTTGATCTCATAACCGTGAGATCATGACCTGAGCTGAAATCAACAGTCAGATGCTTAACCAACTGAGCCACCCAGGTACCTCTCAAAACAGTATTATTTGAATAAATGAGTAATGTGTCAGATCATGTAAATATTCAGTGGATCAGATATCCTTATATAAACGTCGAATTTATTTCAATACTATCACTTCAGATTTGTTTGGCTTACCTTTTCATTCAATTACAGTGTAAGTGCTTTCCATTCCACCCTCAATGTGAACACTAACATGGCAATGAAATAACCAGGTTCCAACATCTCTTGGATACATTTTTACAGTCTGATATACTCCAGGAGGAAGGTCATAAACGTCAGAGCGATACAGTCCCATATCCTCAATAAGGAGACAAAACACCATTAAATAATTTATAAAAGGCATTAGTCATTTATATATCCTATCAATTCTAAAATACTTTGTAAGACAACAATGAGAAAGCATTAGGTGCCCTTGCATTCTCTCTGAGTTCAATCGAAGGTTTAGAGGAGAAGCAAACCTGAGAACATTTTAGGGAGAGGCCATAGAGAAACATCTCAACTCTAAAGGGATCTTGTGTCATAATCAGTGTAGATACCTTGTCTGCACCTCCTGCAGAAGAATGCTCTAGATTTCAGACATCTGGTTTTACAAATCCCAAAAGTTTTAACTGAAGTATTTCTTACTAAGGATGTTGGTTGTGTGAAAACGATCATTCTTGAGATGTAACTAATCAAAAAAACTCACGGTTACAGGAAAGACAGGAGCTCATCTGCCTTCTGGGGTCAGGCCTGAAGACTGGGGGCCTCAAGGGCTATTTATTCTCTTAAAAAAGAACCAGATGTTCAGGAGACTACCTCCTCTGCAGGCTGCTTTTGATTTTGAAAGATGAAGCCCCAGAGCCCGGCATGGCTGGATTAGGATGGATTTGGAAGAGCATAGGAGAGAGATGAATTGCTCTGAATAATGCAATGGGATGTATTTGGAGGGTGGGGGTGTTTTGAAGAGTGTAGCTCAAGATGGCATCTGGGATGATTCAAGGAGAGGACAGATGTCAAACAAGAATGGAGAGGAAGAGTGTGAGAAAAGAAGTCCTGAGTGTCAGTAGAAAAGGTGGAGAGCCAGTGTTTCTCGGTGAGGCATGGGGAAGAGATGCCTGAAGACAGAGGTGTCTAATGTCAAATGGTGAACACTTTCACCATGTAATATCAAGGGAAAAAGAGCCTTCATTTACCTCCAAACTTTCACTGAGTCTATGGCCTTGTTTTTGTGGTTGTTAAGGAGAGTCAGAGGAAATGAGCCTGTGTTCCGTTCCTGAGATGCACAAAAATAAGAAAACACCAGCCAGGGGAGGCAAGAGGTAAGGGAGATGAGCCGAAGCAGAAAGTGACAGTGGGAGAAACAGGCTCTCAAGATACCCTGGAGTTACTGGAGAGAAGAGAGTAAGGTTTTCCACTGGCTGCAGATTGGGGCCTCAGTCACTGTTATTTAGGAATATTCATCTTACATCTACAGTGACAACAAAATGGGTGGCCTGGATACATTTCTAAGATGTCAGAAAATGTAGAGAACAATACAAAATCATTTTAACTAAGAATTGACCATGTTCAAGGAAGGCACCAGTAGATGTGCACTATGTACCTGGAGCATGGCATCAAGGGATACCATGACCTTATGGAACAGGGGACTGGCTATTCCAAGACCAAGTGAGTAACCCTACAGGGAAGCTTTACTGTACCCGGGAGTTCCAGAGAGCAGAGCCCAGAGGCTGCATTAACGCTGGAGTAATTAAATTCCACCTCAAGGGAAAAGACTACTCATCATCATCTGAGATAAGTTTGGGGTAAGTGGCTAGAGCTGACATGCTGGTACTAGGCTCTGTGGTATTAATAAGATTATTCTTTTTATCTTAAATACAAGTATAGTTAACATACAGTGTTATATTAATTTCAGGTGCACAATATAGCAATTCAACAATTCTATACCTTTCTCAATGCTCTTAATCTCCTTTTTTTCACTCATCCTCCTACCCACCTCTCCTCTGGCAATCACCAGCTGTTTTCTGTATTAAGTCTGTTTGCCTTTTTTCTTTGTTTGTTCATTTTGTTTCTTAAATGTAATAGGATTGTTCTGAAAAGAGCAGTTTTGTGAAGAGGTTAAGAGTGAGGACTCTAGGGACGCCTGGGTGGCTCAGCATTTGAGCGTCTGCCTTTGGCTCAGGTCATGCTCCTGGGGTTCTGGAATTGAGTCCCACATCAGGCTCCCTGCAGGGAACCTGTTTTTCCCTCTGTCTATGTCTCTGCCTCTCTCTGTGTGTCTTTCATGAATAAATAAATAAAATCTTAAAAAAAAAAAAAAGGAGTGAGGGACTCTAGAGTGAGAACCAGGGATCCAAATCCTACTACTACCCATTATTGTTTACAGGAAAGTTCTTTGTCTTGTTAATCCTTCACTTCATTCCCTTATAAAACAGTGATAAAATAGTGCCTAGCTCGGGGAAGTTTCAATGAGAAATCCATGTAAGAGCGAAGCATAGGATGTGGCACTTAAGAAGTACTTAATAAAGGTTGGCTTTAATTAACATTATAGAAATGTTACCTTAATTCCACTTAATTTGATGCCTTATAATATAATCCCATATGTAGAACTAGCTCCTGAAAGCTAACTCTTTGATTCCCTCTCATCACCACACAATGCTTGGCATGGTTCTAGGAATGTCAGAGGCATTTTCTGATTGGAACTGATCAGAACTGAACATCAAATATACTGTGAAATGCTATAACTAAAGTTTAGGTCTCTCTCTTTTGTTCTAATTTTTAAAGTCTACTGTAAACACTTATCAATGACAACTCTAATATCAAGGCTTTTCCTTCAAAAGTATGGGGAATGTAGATTGAAGTACAGGAGGAAGGTCATGATTGTTGGCCCTGGGTGGTGGGAAAAGGAGTTCATTATATTATTCTGTCTACTTTGTCATATAAAATTCCCTAGAATATTAAAAATAGTTTTTAAGCCAAAACAAATAAGTTTAAGAGGAAAGAATTTGTTTATTAAAGGATAGAAAAGAAAGCAGCCTACCGATAAAGCATTGTACAGATCAAGTCATGCACACTCATTTAATTTATCTAAGATAGGCCCTAAGCATTACAGAAGCTCTGAACATAATAAGTCTAGAATCCAGGAAAGCTCTATGTGAAACTTTCATCTGTTCCAAAAGATGGACTGTATTATGCCAAGTGGCTGGACTGAACATCTGAGGTGTCAAATGCATGAAATATAATTGGTCATCAATTATACATTAAATGTTTATATAAGGGATTAGGATGAAGAGATTAGAAAATACTCCTCAAGTAAATAAGTGACAGCCCAGATACTGAAAAGGGGAAGAATAAAACTTAAAATACATGTAATAAATTAGAGAAATGGCCAGGCAAATGTGATCAGTAAAAAAACAATGGTAAAGAGTATGATGGTGGAGTGATGGAAAAGCAATTCAGAGATATGAAGAGACTAAGAATATTTAAAATAGAAAAAGATGAAGATAATTATAGAAAAGTTACCAATAAAGCCAATTGTCATCTAATGCCTCATTTTTATTTTATAAAAAATACTGAAGGAATGATAAAATTGGGAAGCTATCATTTGTAACTTCTACTGTAAAAAAATTGATTCTAGCAACAATCATCCATGAATCCTTTTTATAACTACAAGGTGAAACAGAGTTGGAGAATAAAATATGTGAAAAAAAATCACTTCAGAGATTGTTTTTTAATTACAAGAAGATACTTTTAAAATGAGGAGAAATGGTAGGCATCACCTCAATAAAGTTATCCAAATGCCCCAACAACATCAGCACCTGTTCACAGCATATGTACCTTCTGGTGTGATGCATGGGAAGTACATAATATCACCTATGTAGTGTTCATACCAAGAATGCTTGACGTGGATCCAATCATGAGGGAACTATCAGATCAAGGAAGATTATGGGACATTCTACAAAGCAACTGGCCTGGACTCTTCAAAAATGAAATGCCATGAAGGATCAAGAAAAAAAAAAAAGAGATATGACAATGACAACCAAATGCTAAGTATAAATGATTAGATCCTGGATTTTTTTTTAAAACCCACATGGTTTAAAAAAAAAAATCCACATGGTTATAAAGGGCATTTTGGGGACAACTGAGGCTATTTGAATGGATTATATGATAGATTATATTTTTGAATTAATGTTAGCATTGGAGGTGTGATAGTGTTATGTGGGACAGAGATTCGCCTTAGTTTTATGATGCACATGGCTTTACTATACAGGGGTGAAGAAGCATGATGTAATTTAATTTAGGTTCAGAAGACAGCGAAAGAAAGAAAATGTGGCAAAATGTACAGGAGTGTTCAAAGTGTTTTTCTTTTATGTTACTAAAGGTTTGAAAAAAAAGTTGGGGTAGAAAGAATAAAACTAAAGATGATCATACAAGTCTTATTTACCTATTAAGTAATACTTAGAGTGAGAAATGCACTTCATGCATTCAAAAGCATTTACTAAGTGTCCATGGGACACAAAGAGCTGTAATTATGTACATGCACCTGATATATTATAGATTGTAGGTATTGAACTTCAGTTCTGGCTGGCTTGACCCAGAACTTTCTAGTTATTATCCTGCCATGCTGCCCCAGTAACTGCTTTATAAGACACGACAATAATGAAATGAAGCTGCCCAAGGCTCTTACCGTGTATTCAAAGCTGTGGCCATGAAAGTGAACAGTGTGCAGGTCAAATTCACCCCCCATGCCAATCAGGTACCAATTCACTTCATCCCCAACGTGGAACGTCAGACCTTGGTTATTTCCAAACATTCTTCCGTTAATTGCTATGGAGGGACACAATTTGTTATATTCAACAAAGATTTAAAATAATATAGGTTTTAAAACAAACAAGCAACACCTCATAGAAAGTATCACAGATGTTTTCAGAGTCCATGAGGATTTTCAAGTCAGCGTAAGGAAGCTGTTAAACGTGACCAAGCCAACCATTCACGGATGAGTCTAATTCTAGAAGAGTTTATCTTGCCTGAGGAAATGAGGCATTGACTTTGGTTTAACATAATTGGGTTGGGGTAGAATATTTCACAACTACAGAGACTTAAATGGATGGATATTTAAATGTGTCTGCATATTTAAAGCATATTTAAAGTGATCACAAGAAGCTTAGATATTGAATGTGTTCCTCTCTAACTACTCTAAGTCAGACCTTCGTGATTTGTCACTGGTATGGCTAGAATGGCCATTTAGCTGAGGTCCAGGCCTTTTGTCTTTCCCTCTCTCTCTCTCTCCAATCCTCTGTAAGTATGGCTTCCCAAAGGTAATAGGAAGAAAATATTAATTTAATTATATATATAAAATACATATAATTATATATATATTCTCCTTTTTACTTTTTTATTTTGTGTTCACCTTTCGAAGCACTAAAAAATGCATTAATGTAGTGGTACAAATATATAATTTATAACCATATATCGGAGGTTGGGTTCATTTTATTTGTTTATTTATTTATTTATTTATTTGAGACACAGAGAGAGAGGCAGAGACACAGGCAGAGGGAGAAGCATGCTCCACGCAGGGATTCTAATGTGGGACTTGATCCCAGGACCCTGAGATCACACCCCGAGCCAAATGCAGACACAGCCACTGAGCCATCCAGGCATCCCTGAAGGTTGGGTTCTAACACTTTAAGCCAATGGAAGGATGTAAACAAACAAACAAACAAACTAGGAGACTTGTCCTTAGACCTTGCTTCCCAGACTTTAATATGCTTGTGGCCTGAGAATCTTGTTCACATGCAGATTATGATTTACTAGGTCTTCTCTCCCTCCCTCTCTCTGTGTGTCTCTTGTGAATAAATAAATAAAATGAATACATAAAAAGTTCCCTCCCCTTCATGAAAACTTTCTTCCAAATAAGAATTTAAAGCGCAGCACTGTGTTTATGTTTCTGTGACAGCATCCCCACTCCCACCCCAAGTCGGCCTTGTACTATAGCAAAGCAGAAGGGTGCTGGCCCTGTGCTGTGACCACTTTGAGGGAAGATGCCTCGTCTTATGGCCTTTTTACCTCCCTAGCACCAGTATGGTGCTCTGTGACCTCTACAAGGCTTATTAAAAGGTGATGTGTAACAAGGATGCAATCCTTGAATTAATTTCAAATTTACTATATGTGTCTTGGGGGAAAAAAATGAAGAAGTTGAAAAAGGTCACATTTGCATTTGCCTTACGTAAGGATCCCTTATCTAGTCTATCTAGCTTCCTCAGGTGAAAGGCCTGGGACCTTCAAAGTCCAACTGAATGTGACTGTGGCTAAGTGAAATTGTTTATGTGCTTTCTCTTTGAATACTTGTCTCATTACTATAATTCTAGATGGGAGGGAGGACATAAACAGGACGTGCTTAGTCACAAACCACCTATCAAAGAACTTTGGTTGATGAGCATGGGGTTTTTTGAAGTGCTGCCTGGTGGGAAGATTGGATGGGGTCATGTGCTCTCCAGTTTGCCACAAGCTCCACCTCTCTCTAAGTTCACCTAGGTAAAATACTTAGAAAAGTGTGTAGGAAAGTTGTCTAGAAATGATAGCTGATATTCTTAGTTTTACATCACCCGCATGGTTCCAGAAGCATTGGAATTTGCCTCGCTGCTAAGTCTACAGCCCTTAGGCCAGATCCAGCCCTCTTGCCTCCTATTTTTCTATGGCCCAAAAGTAAAGGGTGGTTTTTAAATTTCTAAGTGGTTGAAAACAAAGAAACACACAAAACAGAGTATTTCCCAACACATGAAAATTACATGAAATACACATTTCAGTGTCCATAAAAGAAGTCTTACTGGCTGGTAGCCACTTGCATTTCTTTACATCTTGTCTGTGGGTGCCTTTGTGCAGAGTGAAATAGAGCCTATGGTAGAGACTGTGTGGTTTACAAGTCTAAACTCTTTACTATCTGGGCCCGTATGGAAGAAGTTTGCCAACACTTGGTCCATGTGATCTACACAATGGCCCTATGCAATTGCCTTCTCTCAGCTACTGAGTTTGACAAGTGTGACCCTTCATTCGTTCCTTTTGTGTGAAACAACCTACTGGCTATGGTTGCCGAGTCAGCTAGTAACATTACCGTGCATTTGGTTGCTGAGGTCAAACTGTTCATCATTCCTGTCTATGTTGTTCGGAGCTGAAGAATAGGTATTGACATTTTCTTCAAAGTACCAGGATTTGTTCTCATTAAAAATCATAAAGTGGAGCACACGGTGAACTATGCTGGCTTTGGTGTTTTTGCGACATACGATCAAAGGGCCTACCAGTCCACTGTTCAGATCCTGGAGAGGCAAAGCAAGATTATCCGCTGTGCCCCCAACTAAAAATTTCCCCCAACCAGTGAAATGAGGAGAATCAACATTGAGTTCTAGAAGTTTCAGATCCTGAGTTTTTAGTTATTAGGATTCTGAGAGTGAGGAAGAAAATGTTTGACATGTTAAATCCTTGACTAAGGAAACTGTCATCTCACTCATTCGATTTGAAGTCTGAAGAGAACAGCTAACTCCTAAGAGAGATTTTAGTCACATTCCTCGGTGGATTTAGCTCTATTTTTGAAATTTTAATTAAAAAGAAAACAAAAACAAAGCCGAGGGTTTTGTTTTTAATTAGAATTTCTTGGCATTGGAGTTGGTTGGCAGCAAAGTCTAAAGGTCTTAAATCCTTTGCCCTGTGATGCCTCTGCCCCCAGAGCCGCTTTCAGCTGGGAGCCTTGGTTTGTTTGTACTCATTCTGGTTTTGAGTTGAATGTCTGTGTAGATTCTTGTTCTGGGCAGAGAGTGTGCCAAAGTAACTAAAAGTTTGGAGATGAAACTTTTGTTGTTGTTGCTAAATGAAAATAAACTGAACTCCAGAGTTGACGCTTTAAAAAAATATACATACACATGTGTTTATTTCTCATTAATTAGAGACTTTTAACTCCATGCTTTGTTTTCTGTAATCCAAATCCAACAAGACAAAAGAGAGGATTATTACATTTTCCTATTCACAGTGACACTTTGGAAAATGTCATGAATCGATATAATCATAATGCAATGACTTTGCTCTTGGAAAAATGCAAATCTCTGTAGAATTAAAAGCTGAGCAGTATTTAGATTACATAAAGGAAAGATTACATAGAACTAAGTTTTTTTTTAACACACATAAATTCCTTCTTTCTTCTATTATAATTTCTAAGAGGAGATAGGAGAAAAACTATGACTTGATTTAAAGTGTACCTTAATCACATCCACGGTCGAATAGTAAAACCAAGGTATGCACTCAAAGTCGTTTGAGGCAGGACCAGCTCTCTCAGGAATCTGCCAAATGTATGTTTGGAGCTCTCCTAAAATAGACAAATGCAGTGTATATAAACAGAATCTTTGAAAGCACTTGTTTTTATGGAGAAGCAGATAATGAGCAAACCCCAAAGCCATACGGATATTGAGCAGCACAGTCCTAGTTTTCACTTCTGGCTCTCCTGCTCCTAGCTTTGCCCATGTGTTTATAGTTTCTGAGTTTCTGCTTCCTGCCGCACATAAAATGAGAATTTAGGGATTAGATAAGATAGTACAAATAAAGCATTACTTGGGTCACAGGGTGAAGTTGATGTAACCATCACTGCTGGCTATTATGTTCCCAGGGTTATTGAATGGAAACCTTAGAATGATTTTGCCATTGAAAAATGTCAGTCACTACATATCTAACTCATTTGTTCAACAAATATTTATTGTAGTGAAGGTATCTCAGGCTTTGAAACGTGACAGATTTGTTTTGAATATCAGCTGAACCTTCCAATGTATAGATCACATGTGCCTCTTCCCTGCTCCCAAAGCATTTGCATTAGCCCCACTGAATCTAAATTCTATGCCTATTTCGGAAAAGGTCTTTTGGATACCTCCTTCCACTCCTGCCCCTTGCTATATAATCTTGCATCTCCCCCCACTTCCAGAGGCTTAAATTCATTTTCCTAAGTGCTTCCACTAACTGATCCTATCCCCAACTTCCCTGCTTCCAAATCTTTAACAATCAATCTACCTAGTACCAACCCTCTCCTTCCAGGGCACCACACAGTGCCTGGGCACAGCGGGTACTCAGAAGTGTTTCTGGAATGTAAGCAATGCGATCCTTCTCTGACTAATGAGAACAGAGTGCTGACTTGCAAACTCCCTTGATAGGAGATTCATGTTGGTACTACTGTGGGACTGTCTCTCTTTTAAAATCAAAAGGGAATATTTCACTTGCCATCAAAATCTCTCTTCCATCCCTCTGCCCCACACACCTTTTCTTTCTGAATTTGGGTCTTTCCTTGATACCCTTAACTCCCAGAACTAGTTGTTTCGGTAGGCAACTATGGTAGACATTCTGGATGCCCCTCTCAGGTTCCCCATTTAAGAATGAAGGAATCTTTGCTCCACAGGCTGTCCACTTCCTTCCAAGACAGCCTTGGTGGAAGAGAGCCACCTCACCCAAGCTTACATCCAATGACAGATTCATGGACAGAGAGGCCCAGCTTCCTCACCCCAACTCAGGACAGCTGAGTGCTACCCTCTCTTTGGAACTTCTAGGGGTGGCTGTGATTTCTATTAGGCTACATCTCTGCTTAAGCTCTCCCCCTGCCCAATTCTGTTTCCTTGTCTTTCTCTCCATAGGCTTTGATCTCAAGACTACTATTGGCCCACAAATTTTCGCTTCAGAGTCTACTCCCTGGGCATTTTTTAAAAATTTTTTATTTATTTATGATAGTCACAGAGAGAGAGAGAGAGAGAGAGAGAGAGAGAGGCAGAGACACAGGCAGAGGGAGAAGCAGGCTCCACGCACCGGGAGCCTGATGTGGGATTCGATCCCGGGTCTCCAGGATCGCGCCCTGGGCCAAAGGCAGGCGCCAAACCGCTGCGCCACCCAGGGATCCCTCCCTGGGCATTTATATTAAAAAGTATTTGTTTTTGTCTGAGGTCTGTGGAATGCCATACTGTATAGTGGTGACGCCATAGGAATGTTAGTACATGAAGTCCATTATTTTCTCTTAGTGGCTCTCTTTCCCCCGCTCCCTTCTTCACACGCTGCCTCCTATACTCAACTCCTACTTTAGCACTTGAATTGGAGAGATGGGGCATAGCCTAAGAATACCTAGCAGCTGGACAGTGGAGAGATGGGAAGGAAGGTGGTTCTAGAAAAGAATTGTAGACACTGGGGAGTTTTGTACATGGAACCCATCCTGGAAGCAAACTCAAGACTTGCAAAAGGACCTTGCTCCCAAACTCCTTCTTTAGACCCTTCCTACTAGTCCACTGGTCTCTGTCATCTAGAACCACACCCATACTTAAGAAAGAATATTAGCACACAGTCCTGCTTCAAAACTTTGAAGCTTTTCTCTGTCCCAAAGCAGTTACCTGGCTGTGTTGGAACAACAGTGGAATAGCTTGTTTTCACTCCATGAGCATGAATTGAATATGGTCTTGAGGCTTTATTTTTAAAGATAATTCTGATTTTTTGACCAGGAGTGAGAAATATTAAAGGACCTGGGGAATATAAAAAGGAAAACGTGTGGAAATTGTTATTTATTTTAAATTATGAGTCATCTGTCCTCTTAAGTATTTACGCAACTTATTTTTATCCTTTTTCCTTAACATGCAGCCAAATAAAACATACTTTTAAACAAGTGGATTATTGATGATTTATGAAACATGGTTTTTGCCTTGAAAACTTAAGTCTCTAGAAAACTTAACTTTGATGAGCATCAGTTAATGCCTAGGAAAACACACAATTTAGAGATGAAATCTTTTCTTTTCTTTCATGACCAATCTTATCACTTATCACTTATCCTTTTCCCCTTTCACCCTAGTGGAGAGTTAGGAGGAACTGGAAGGCCTTTTTATTGACCCAAAGTGATTTTTTTTCTCTCAAGACTGAAGACCCCTTCATTGTACTCTCTCTCCCAACCATTCCAGGCCAAGAACTGGAGGTAAAAAAAAACTGTTTTAAATATTCTTTCTATTTATTTTTTTTCTTCCTTCTATTTAGAAGCAGGTTATATCAGTGACTCTAAAAATTCTGAAACAGAGATGGTTTTGATATGAACTAAGCAGTAAGAATTCTCTTCAAACTTGCACTATAATTGCTGAAATAAGAGCCCTAAAGATACCTATTGGACATTAGATGCTAGCTTGAGACATCCCCTCTTTGTCCGCATGGCCATTCCATCTTCCCAAACACTAGAGAATTGTTTTTACCTTTTCCATAAAGTGGTTCATTATTTTTTTGGATAAATCATAATGGAATCTAGAGGGTCACATTGTATTATTTATCTTGTTGCAGTCAGCTAGAATCCTAGTGAAAACTAACATCCTGCTATTATTAAAGATAGACTCACACCCAATAGCAGTGGGAATTGGGTAGCACAGCTTCTTTCTGGGGGTTCCAAAGAGACAAGCTCAAGGGGCCAATGAGGATCCAAGAAGAACAAGAATTTCTCAACAACATGTAAATCCATCTTCTCAGGGTCCCACACCAGAAAACAGTCCACAATAGGGGCACCTGGGTGGCTCAGTCAGTATCTGACTCTTGCTTTTCAGTTCAGGTTGTGATCTCAGTGTCTGAGATTGAGCACTGTGTTAGGCCTCTTGCTCAGTGCAGGATCTACTTGAGATTCTCTCCCCCTCCCTCTCCCTCTGTTCCTCCCTTGATGCATGCTTCTGCATTCTCTCTCTCTCAAATAAATAAATAAATAAATAAATAAATAATAAATAAAACATTAAAAAAGAAGAAGACACAATAGACACACAAATATCAAGACCCAAATAAAATTTGACCATGTGGAAATGCCATATGACTTCTGGAAATACCATGCAACATACAGAAATGTCACTGACATATGAACACATCATGTGACCTCTGCAAATGCTGTGTGATTTAGGGAAATGTTACATGTAGGTGCTTGGGGGTGACTTGTGATTTTCCTAGCTGACCTGTCAAGGGTGGAAGAAAGGGCTATACTTTTCTTCACTCTTGGAAAGAAGATGAAACTTTAAGTGTTTAAATTAAACACTTAAATTTAAACAAAGAGATCCCTCTCCTCACTATAGCAGGGCTTCTGGGCTTCGTTTTAACAGTGAAATGATCTCAAAATGCTACTTCTAAGCTCTCTGGAGTTCTTGAGTCCTGCGGCTAAGAAGCCAGGTAATCTGAAACTGACCACATTGACTTCCTATGGTCTTTTCAGTTTCCATGAAGCAACACTTAAATCAATTCTCTTTTCACGCTAAAAGTGCCTATCAGCAAACAAATTAGAATTAGCATTATAGGCACTTTCCTCTGTTAAGATGGAGGTTGACAATATCCCAATGTGTACAACAGTCTCTGGTGGCTGAGGACAAGAAGAAAAACGTGAAGATCAGTCTGATTGTATATTAATACCTAGTATGTCCAGATGTTTTTCATCTTCATTTCTTTGTGTTAGATTCTTGAACGTGATATCATCATACTGACGGTATATGACTTTCTTGTATTTGGACCCAAGATACGTTCCAATTCTATCCAAATATATGCTCGTTTTACTTTAAGGAAATAAAAACAAAACCAAAAAAACCACAAAGTTAGCTAGTTTAACCATTAAGTTAGGGAACTGTCATATAGAAGAACTAGTTTAACCATTAAGTTAGGCAAATTGTCATTTGGAAGAACTCCTTAATGAAACAACACAATCGATTAATATTTAGAGGCTACTTTACCTCGGAAAGTAATTCTTCTTCTTAAAAAAATTTATCAATACTGGTAAGACTGTTGGATATTCATTCTGTACTTTAAAACATGTTTTTGTGGATGAAATTTTAGTTTTGATACATGAATAAATAGTAAAAGTGAAAATCAGAGAAAGAAATCAAGTGCTACAAAAAGAAAAACAAGGGTCTGCCAATAGAGGCTCCTAGAAGAGAGATTGACAGAAACAAACGAAGACAAAAGGAAAACCTGACTGCTGCCAAATGTTAAAGGTAGTTGAAGTGATGTTTATTACACCTCAGAGTGGTCAGGTTGGATGATATCACACACCAGCCAGACTGGATGCAAGAAATGAAAAGAAAGACGGCCAGAAATAAAGCACAGAAGTAAGTGACGCAGATTTTTAGAAAGAATTGAAGCCATTTATAATTGAAGGTAAGACACACAGATCCATTGTGAAGTTATTTGTAATGGGATGAATCCTAAGCATACTCACACCTACCACGCACACACCCATCACTCACAGAGCAAACAAATACACAACACATGCACACACGTTCACACATTTTTATAAGGTTGGAAAGAGAGGGTGGAGGACTCCCAGAAAGAACTCTTGTTGGTTAGAGACGGAAGTTATTGCCATACTTCTCTCCTTGTAAATGCTGCAGTCGTTTCTCCCACTTCCTGCTAGGAGAATAATCCCACACAATTTCCTCCGCAGCGATATAAATGGTTTTCGCTTCCTCATACTGTGTTTGATCAGGGTTTGACTCCGCACATTGCCTCACGTGATATTTATGTTTCATGCCTCCTTCATAGTGCTCTGTCGTCATACAAACCACATCAAAAGTTCCTAAAGATGAGTAAGAAAAGAATGCATAAAGCTTTGCATTGAGATTTCTTTTCTCTAAGAAGTCATCTGTAAGACATATACTCCCAAATGTAATATAGTAGGATAGTCCATTGATTCTTTTTTCCCTTAATTTGACAGATACTTCTTCATGCCAGGCTTATTCTAGGCACTTGGGAAACACCAGTGAGCAAAATGGTTAAGAAAATCCTTGCCCTTAGGGTTTATATTGCATGGTGGGTATTGTCGAGATAAACAAGACATAGCAGGTGATGTTTTCATAGGTTGGAGGCTGATGAGCGCTATGGATTAAAGAGAAAGGCAGAACCATGTCAAAAGGATTGAGAATCCTGGGAGGGGTGGGGTGGGGCGGGGGGAAGTTCCAGGGAGCAATGAGCAATATATTACGGGATGATCAAGGAGGTGACACTTGGACAAAGATGAGAAGTGAGTGTTGGGCCCAGGGAAAGAGCAATCCAGGTAGAGGAAACACACAGCAAAATCCCCAAGCTGAGGGCCTGCTTGGCGTGTGTGCAGACCATTCAAGAGGCCTGTGTGTCTGGAGTGGAGTGAGCAAGTGGGAGAGGAGACAAGCTTGGTGCAGGTGGGAGGGCTGTGGGCCTGGGGGCCACTGAAAGTCTGTGGTTCTGTGAAATGGGGAGCCATTGTGGGATTTTGAGCTGATGAGTGATAGGGACACTGACAGCTGTGCTGAGAACGGATGGTAGTGGGCAAGCGTGGAAGGAACGAGACCTGTTAGGATGCCGAGAGGGTAATCCATGAGAGATGGTGCAGCTTGGATGGGAGTGGCAGCAGTGGGGTGGTGACAGGAAGTAGAAAGTCATCAGAATCACACTTTCAAATCCCCAGGCAATGACCACAGTGAAAAAACTCCAGCCTGGTTCCGACCAGTAAACTCCACCTGAATTCAGGTTGTCTTTCAGGAAGACTGGCAAGGATCAACCCGTCAGACTCAAGGGTTTGGGAAGATTTGTTTAGAATGAACTGACGCCCATGTAGCACAGCACTTAACACATAGCAGGTGTCTCCACACTTTTACTGCAACTGATATTGTTAAGAAAAGAGATGACGAACACAGCAATATTTTTTCTTTTTTTTTTTTTTAAGTCCAGGAAAACGTCTCCAGGGGAAAGGAGAGGAAGAAGTGGGGCGGGCAGAGGCAGGAAACTGCTTGCCACCTAGCGAGGACACAGGGCAGAGAGGAGAGCCAGTGCTCTTAATTACAGGTTCTATTTGTTTGAAAAGTAAAAGAAAAACTTTTTAAACATAGGAAGTGTAATCAAATGAATCTGTGGTGTCACAAAGAATTCAGATACCAATCTGTGGCATTTATGGAGTAGCTAGCTTATTGTATAGCCAGCCTTTGATTTGGTGCCACTAGCTTTTGACCAAGATGAATGGACTTTTATTTTATTTATTTATTTGATTTTGGTGAAGGTGGATCTGCAGGATAAACGAAGGAACTAAGATTTTATTGAACATCTAACATATGCCAAGCATTTTGTGCTACATCTATCTCACCTGCTCCCTGTTTATTCCTTTTTGTGGATTGTAAACTATTGCAATTTTACAATAGTTTTACAAAAACTATTTTACAAACGGAGGTATTAGGCTCAGAGCAGAGGGGAGTCTCCTCTGATGCCTCTAGCAATTTTCTGATAGGGGGTGCCTTTTAAAAAAATTTTGCCCCAGCAATTGACCTCACTGAAATGAGAACATTTCCCTAGAGAGCTAAGCCAGCAAGGAGAGGACTAGAGAAAAGGCAGAAGCAGAAGGCAGGTCTGGGAAACAAATGGATAGAAGAATAAGAAATGGAGTAGATAATAGAGTGAAAGCAGCTTAAAAACAAAAACAAAAACAAAAACAAAAAAAACATCTTCATCACTTTTGAGGAGTGTGGATTGATTTAGAGTCTGGAGGCCAGGAAGAGAAAACCGAGAGCAGTGAAGGTGATTTTTGTGACCTGGGAAATGCTATACTACCGCTCCTATAAATTAAATGGAGCAGGGGAAAGGCTTTTTAAGTATTGCTTACATATGAGTTCCTTTTTTTTTTCTGTACAAACAATATTCAGCACATGTAAAGACACTGCTTTTCATAATCTTGACATGTTTCAATCTAAAAGAGAAGATCTACTACTTACCTATGGAATCGGGTGTCATAAAAAGTGTCTGGGAGGTGTGGGGAAACAGAGCTATGGTGTCGTCCCTTGATCCTAAGGAAGTAAAGGTATTTCCTGAAAAATATATCCCATGTAAGTCTTTTACGGATCCCACACTAAGAACGTGCCATGAAACGTTGTCTCCTAAGCACATATCCAATCCAGGCAGATTTCCATACATGTATCCGTTTATGGCTACAAGACATTTGTGACAAAGAAAAGAATATTTAATTTTTTGATAATTGACATCCCTTCAAATTCCACAAAGGATTAATCATAAGGCAGCTCAATCACGTAAGAATCTCAATTATCTGAATTAACCCCTTCCTTTTGGATACGAAGAAACTAATGCCAAAGAAGCAATTACTTGTCCAGTGTCATTAAGCTAATACTTGGAACAGTTAAGATCAGAGTCCGAGTCTCTAGACTCTAGACCAGTCCTTTCCCCCTACATTTGCAGTCTTCAAAAACCAACCAAACAACCGGTCAGCTAACTAACCAACTCAATAAACATTCCACCCACCTATGTCATTAATTTGACAGTAGAAAAATACATGACTTTTCTACCTCACATTTAGTAATAGCTAAACAATATAGTGCACCAACAAGGCATTGTTAAATATTTAGTAAATTGCATGTAACCTAATCATCCTAGTAGATAATATTTTTATTCAGAAATTATCTTTAAAAGAAACATGAAACATATTAGTCAGCCCTTGGGGGGAAAATGTAGGTCTTTTTTAATCTGTAATTCTTTAGACATAAGGAAATTAAACAAGTGCTTAATATGTGTATCTTGTAAATTGTATGTTCCCTTACAGTACATCTTGTTGGACTTTTGGAAGTCTGGATCCTTTTTATCCACATTTTCAGGCTTTTTGATAAATGTTTTGATATTTTCATCCAAGAGATAATTTTCATTTTCATTAAAAATCGTGGCAAGCAGGTAAAACTCTTTGTCTTTTCCTTTCTGTGAATAAGAATAGAAAAAGAAATAGCCCCCAAATCTTAATGCTCTGTATACAAGATCTAGTCAAATAGTTGATCTGCATACAGGATTTCCTATACAAAGTTTTTTGATACTCCTGGAAAACACAAGCATGGATAAAGGCATGAATCCCACTGAATGGATTGATCACAGAATGAAGTTAGGAGAATTATCTACAGCTCTTTTCATATAAAGCTTTTACTCTGGGAATTCATACTGCTGAACTTCATTAAACTGTTTGATCATAGGCGTTTATAGTGGCTTTTCATAGGCTTTGTAGAAAGTGAGTTAAATAAAATGTTTTCAATTCTAGAAAGTCTGCATTTTTAGCATTTATGAAGAAATTAAATATGTACTATAAGAATTATGAGATTTGTAATGCTTCTATTCTGTGGATGCCTATTAATATATCATCTCATTTTCTTTTTTTCTGATTATGATTTTTTATTTATTTTTTTAATAATAAATTTATTTTGTATTGGTGTTCAATTTGCCAACATACAGAATAACACCCAGTGCTCATCCCGTCAAGTGCCCCCCTCAGTGCCCGCCACCCAGTCATTTTCAAATAAAATATACATTCAGTTATATATATATTTATTTGGGGAGATTTATTAGGTTTATTAACTTATAAATTACAAATGCAAAAAAGAAATTGGATATTAGATCACTTGTGAATGGGGAACAAGGGAAATTCATTCCTCAAACATTTATTGAGTACCTACTACATGCCAGAGAGGGGCTGTGATTATTACAAAAAATTAATAAAACCTTGTGTATGGAATTTATGGTCTAGTGGGACAGAAAGGCTGACAAATATAATTGAATAGATAAGTGTTCCAATAGAAAAAATACACAGGAAACTATGGTAACCTGCAGAAACCACTTTAGTCAGTGAATATTGTCTGAAGGGCAGGAAGGGACCTTCAGTAGGAGTTTTAAAAACGTCTCCCCTTTTGGGGCACGTGGGTGGCTCAGTGGTTGAGCATCTGCCTTTGGCTTAAGTTGTGATTCCGGGGTCCTGGGGTCGAGCCCTGCATTGGGGTCCCTGCAGGGAGCCTGCTTCTCCCTCTGCCTATGTCTCTGGTTCTCTCTGTGTGCCTCTCATGAATAAAAAAAAAATCTTAAAAAAAAAAAAAAGATTCCATGGTATATTTCCCTCTCCATTTGCCCCTCCCTCTGCTTATACTCTCTCTCTCAAATAAATAAATAAAATCTTAACAAATAAAATAAAATAAAATAAATAAAATAAAAACAAATAAAATAAAAAATAAAAACATCTCCTCTTTTAACAGGCAAAAGCAGTGAGGAAAGGTGAGTCCAGAGAGAAAGAAGAGGACAAAATCAAAGAGATGTAAATTAGCCTTTCTTACTCAGGAACTAACAAGCCAGTTCTGCAGCAGAACCAGAATTGCACACACAGGGTAGCAGGGAACAAGGCATGAATCTGGAGGGATCAACAGGGTCTGATGTGCTGACTTCAGAGTCCACAAACTGCAGAGGAATTTTTCGTGTAGAAAATTGTTGGATTTGAAAGGAAGGGATCTGGAGCTATGTTGACATAAGGTGAGAGTAGAAATGGGAGTCAGAAGGTTAAAGGAATTCAGAAAGAGGTGATGGTCCCTCAAATAAGGCAATGGTATTGGGAGTTTGGTGACTAACTGTTGGAGGTGAGAAAGGAGTTGTTGATGGAAGTCCTAGCTTGGGTGGAGTCATCAACTAAGAGGCAGAGTAGAGGAGAGAGAGGCAGGCAGTGGTTGTCTGGAGGGAGAGGAAGAGATCAAGCAGTCAGGTGGAACTCAAGGTGTCTGGAACATGCTAGGATGAGGGCTCATTGGGTAGAGAAAGATACAGGTCTGAAGTTGAGAAAACGAGAGAACGTGAGAATCAGCACACGGAAGAAATGGAAACTGCCCATTGCCGCATTGTTTTTCCTCTGTAGTTCTGTCTCAGGCAACCTCTCACCAAGGCATATCTGGACATAGGTCCATGACTCACCTGTTTGCCATTCTTTCCAAGAGTTCCATTTCTGCACACGAGGAGAGGCCCTACAAGGCCACTGTTGACATCTCTTGTCATATTTACTGAGGAATAGTATAACCAGGTCAGGCAGTTGGGATCCGTGGAGGTAGGACCCACGTCTCTTGGAATTTCCCACGTATAGACAAATGTCCTGCCAGGATTTACATGTGAGGAGGGTGGAGGAGTACCTAGTAAGAAATGAATATTTCTAAAATAGGACCTAGGACCAGAAGTGCCCTAGTCTAGACTGTGAGATCTCTGAGAGCAAGCACTGTATCTTGCTCACCTTGGAGCACCTTTGGGTGACAGCTGAAAGGGGCTGAAGAAATTACCACCATAATAAGGACACAGAGCTGTTATGAATTGAAAAGTGGGCTGCATAGCGACTTGAGGAGGAATTTTACTTTCTAGCTGACATCATATTGCAGTGTGGCTTGCATGGGCTCCCTCGAGTGCTACTTACGTCTTCCAGGGGTTTTGTAGAATGAGCCCTCGTTGTTCTTGTTGTAACGTAGTCCATGAGGGTGAATGCTGAGTGGCACGGAAGCCTTGTTATAAAAAGTGATCTTGATGATCTGTCCCACTTCTGCCTTAATAATAGGGCCTAGAAACAAACAGAACTGGTAATTGTGCTCAGTTTTCACAGACATAATTGTCAGGTGTGTTACTGGAGTGACTTTCTTCTAGGAATAAAGAGATGATGCCATGAACCAGAGATGCATCCAACTGCAAGAGCTCTAGATGGTTCCAGGTCTTAGGATATCACTTGAGATCACATGAATATCTTAATCTTATTGGATGTATAGGAACAAAAGAATGTAGTTCAGAGTGTATTGTTTCCATAAGGTTATAAGATGACAGCTGAAGTCTCTAAAACTGTGAGATGTGAACACTATTTTGATTGCACAGGATATGTATAAATGGTGTTTATAACCCTACAAAGCTATAAAGAGAATTTTACCAAGGATTCCAAGGTGCTTTTCTCTCGCCTTCTGTGTTTGGAAGGAAGCATCCGTGTATTCACGGTAAACTAGTTTTTTGTAAGTTCCTCCAATTCTAGTTGGGCTTTTTTCAAAATACAGCTGAGATTCACTGTGCAGAGAAAGTAAACAGGCAAAGGACTTTTCAATTAACAGTGATCATTCGGAAGGAAGGCCAGAATCTACATACATCTTGTAATTTATTTACAGAAACAGTGCATGCTCATCATTGAAAATTTGGAAAATAAGAAGAAAACTGACCCCCCCCAAAATTAAAATCTTCATAATCCCATTATCTGCATATAACCACTGCAACAGTTTCTGTGGATTTCTTTTCAGTCTTTTATCTATGCATGTGTACACGAGAACTCATGTCTGTCTACCTGGTGGTTTATCCACATACTTTCTTCTGAAGCAAAAGGTATTTTTTCAGTCAGGTAGTAACAAACACCACCTCTAAAACAACTAGGTGCTGAGATCCAAGAATATTAAGATCGGAGATGTTATTCTTATTTTAAAATTATATTACAATAAAATTAAATGGAGTCCCCTGAGAAAAAGTGATCCCTGGCAGTGAAGTAGTAGCAGAATTTCATAGCCAGGACGATCAAGCAAGCTGAAAAAAAATCTATTAATTGATACTTATTTCAGTCAATATAAAATGAGAGTTGTACCTAACTCTGAATCTAATTTTTGCTCTAAGCCCAGATACCCTTCATACAGTTAATACAAAATTTCCATCACACAGAATGAAAAATTTATTGATGAACTTAAAATATAAGAGAATAAATATTCACTTGATATAACATTCTCAGTTTTCTCAAATTTTCTGTGGGTAAATTAGAGAAAAATAAATACCATGGGAAACATTGCTTGGTGATTTTAGAACTTGATATTTTCTGACATGTAACTTTCATACAATAGACTAGAAGGATTAAAATTCTTGTAATCTTTGAGTTGGCAGATATAATTATAACAGTTGGACTATCAGAAAAACTTTTTGAGCACTTTTAAATTCTGATGCCACAGTAATATATTTTGGTCTTAGTTTTTAGTTACTAAAATAGTCACAGGAAAGATTAAAAAAAGTAATAAAAAATATCAGTGGAAATTAATTATATCTTCAGATCTTAGCAGGAAAGCATAAATTATGCATGAGGAATGTTTTTGAATTTTTATAAAATTGTTATTGATAACATTATCCACTATGTCTCAGAACTATATATAATAAATCAATTTAAATTTAATTTAATAAAATTAATTTATTGCTAGGAAAAAAATGAGCAGTATGTTTTATTTTGCACTGGCTATTGAGACATTTAGAGAAAAATTGTGTGTGGTAATGATCCTTAGATTCGGTATTTTCTAATTATTGATATAGTTATTTTTGGGGGTTCCCGGGTGGCTCAGTGGTTTAGTGCTGCCTTTGTCTCAGGGCGTGATCCTAGATTCCTGGGTTCGAGTCCCACATTGGGTTGGGTTCCCCACATGGGGCCTGCTTTTGCCTCTGCCTGTGTCTCTGCCTCTCTCTCTCTCTCTCTCTCTCTCTCTCTCTCTGTGTGTGTGTCTCTCATAAATAAATAAATAAAATCTTAAAAAACTAAAAATAATTATTTTTCTATCCTTGTTTTATCAATATATTTTAATTATAAGACGCCTAAATCCTTTTCAGGAGTAGCTGGTTACAAAAAAGTTCCATTATCTTTATTTAATCATAAATATTTCAATCACTGAATTATTACCTTCCAGCTGCTGTTAAATTTTTTTTAGTGAAGGAGTCTACACCAGAGGGAGCATAGTTCCAAATAATTTTTTCAGCAGCAATATAGTAATATACAACATGTGTCGCAGTAGTGTGTGTTGAACATTTTTGACAATTCCTTACGTTGAAAAAGGCCTGTATACTCTCTGGAAAACAGTAAACCCAAGTAGAGATTGTTACTAAGACATTTCTCTTATTCCACACATATTTTATATTTTAACCAACAATATTGCAACTTTTTCTTTTTTGAGATATTGGATGCATTTTACTTACGGAATCTGTGTAATAACCTAAAACGTATGAAACAAATACAGAAAAGCACGATGTGAAGATGAACATTAGAGGAATACATATTACCGGAGAATAATCACCAGCATTGGACCAGTCCCTAGATGAAGACGGTGCCTGTCTACCATGAAGAATTTTAGAGTCTATTTGGCCAAAAACAACTCTCCTCAGGGATACGAAATTACTACCATTGGCCGCTAATGAATTAGCTGATTTATTAGATTAACTAGTCGGCAGACAGGAAGAAAATCAAGGCAGGTACCTTTCCATGAGGGCATCAGTCCTGTGCTTTGATTTCAGAGCACTGTTGGTGGGAGTTTAAATTAGGATAGACGTTTTGGAAGGCAATCTGGCAGCATTTGTTAAAACTACAAACCTTCCATTACATAATTTCACTCCTTGGTAGTCACCAAGAGAAATATTTGCACATATATAAAAAGATCCAATAAAAAGATGTTAACTGTAACATTGTTAATAAGCAAAAAATGTGAAAGCAATTTAAATATCTATCGGTAGGCAGATGGGTAAATAACTCAGGATACATCCCCAATGTGGAAAACTATACAACAGTGTAAAAGAAGTTAGATGTATGGGGAATGTCATGGAAAAGATTTCAAAACATAATGAGGAGTGAAGAAAGCAACAGCAGAAAATTATATGCAGAGTGATCTACTTATGTAAAACAAAACGAAATATAGCAATGTGTTTTTGTTTCTATATGTTCATGTATATTATGTGAGAATGCATAGTAAACAGGTGTTCAAGTACTCACACCCAGTATTTACTCTCTGGGGAGGAACGAGGATGGCGATGGGAGGGTTGGACTAATGGTATTTTTCTTAAACCAGCTCTCTAAAGACAAAAAACCCCACAATATTTGATATATTTGCTAATTTTTGTGGTCTAAACACTCCCACCGTGGCCAATTTGAAGTTCCCAAGAGTTTACCAGCTGACTGACTTAACTATCAGCCCTCTTGCGCTGATGTGAGCTGGCTCTCACACATCACATTAGATGTTTACATCTTCTGTCTTCTGTCCTCCTCCTACTTCTCCCCCCACCTTATTCCTTCCTCTTTCCATCCTTCCTTTCTTTCCAGGCAAAGTCTAGTCATGTATTCCTGTGATTACTAGTAAGATAAAATAAAAAATTAAAAAAATTTAAATAAAAGTTTTAAACAGGGTGGAAGTAAATTTGAAAAACCACACACAACTCGAGGATACTCGAGGAAGAGAATGAAACACACGAGAACGCTATGGAGTCAATCAAGATCAGCCAAGGAACTCTCAGAAGTTTCTCAGTTGTGCCTACGGCTGACCCTACTCTTTCTGCAGAGTTGAGGGCCAGACCTGGCGTGAAGTCACCATCTGCAAAGTAAGTAAATCAGAAGAGTCGGGCTGAGCACGCATTTTCACCTGAAAATGATATTCCTTTTTAAGTGAGAGATTTTTTACTATTAAATTCAGTCCTTGAGTTGCAGTAGCTGCAAGGGGTTCTCCTTTTCCCAGAGCCCTGGGAGGGCTCCAGCACACAGGAAGTCCTGATAACTACTTGCTGTGTACTTATTTAAATAATTAGTGGAAGCATGATTCTAACCAAAGTATGGGACTAAGAAGACAGATTTGATCACAGAAGTAAACCCCATTTTTGTACGCAAAAAAGTTAAATTCTTCGGTTCTAATAAAACCATGTTTTTTTTTATTGAAAAGGTAAGAAAATATTTGCATGATTGTATGTAGAAACATTTGCATGATTGTATGTGGAGTTTGGTCACATTTAAGTTTAGAAAAGATTAATAACTTCATAACTGGCCATTGTATTATTCAATGGAGGGTGTTGACTGAAGAGGGAAATAAACGAAAATACAGAGGTTTCTTGAGTTCTGGATTAGTATCGTTTGGTCCTGCAAGAATCCTGGCAATTCTTCTTATAGGGTTTTGGACAAGTGTTTTAACCTCTTGAAACTCATTACCTCACCTAAAAATAAACAGTAATAATACCTGCTCTGACATTCAGCCTTTCTGTAGGGCTCACCGGCTAAAAAATATAAAAGTTTTTTTTTTTTGTAAAAATAAAACAAAACACCCTGATATACCTAGAAGGGTTCATTATTATGGAGTTATTTGTCAGAGACCTGGGTTCCACTTCTGATCCCATCACTGACTTTCCAAAAAAGCAATCCCATCACCTTCCTAGAAATCAGTTTTTCCATTTGGAAGACAAGGCGTTTGTGATGGGTTGTAACCTTGAAAGTTCTGTGTAAAGGTCATAAATTCCTACCATGTATTTGACATCTCAGCTTCCACTCTCCAGGGCCTTTGGCTACCATGAAGGCTTCTTCCAGCGAGGCAGGGAAGACGGTAATGGTGTCCTTTCTGTGATTCCGAGATATCAGAGTTTGTCCGTGCAGATAGATGGAGTGTGTGTCCAACACACCACCCATGCCAACAAAATGCCACTTGACCCTGTCCTCAGCACACATGGTGAGATTGGGCAGATTTCCGTACATATATCCATTTACCGCTGAAAACAAATATATGTTTTGTTTAATTTATTTTTCAAGTAAACTTTACCCCCAACACAGGGCTTGAACTCATGACCCTGATATCAAGAGTCGCAAGCTCTACTGACTGAGCCCATGAAACAGACATGACTAATTTTTCACAGTAGATGAGGACCATATGCTGCACATTCTGCACACTTCCTCTTAAACCTCATAATGTCAACTTTATTCTCATACATAATCTACCATGGGATTTGATTGGTCTTTCACAACAAGAAAAGGCCATAATTTTGTATCTAATTAGAAGTCTTAAGAGCATAAAGAGTTACAGGCAAGAGGAGGAAAAGTGAGCTGAAAGGCAGGGAGCAGAGATGAGGGGAAAAGAATAAAAAGAATCTAAGTCCCAGAAAGCAGAGAACAAGGATGGATGACTGAGAGAATAAGAGTATCTTTTCTGAAAAAACCTATATAGAAATACATTTTTCTTTTAGAAACACATTTTCATTGAATATCTGCTCCATTATGTTTTTATTCTTCCATAAGATTTTATTACCTTAAAATTACATCTTTCCTGTTTTTACCATCTACTTTTGATCAAGATCGGACTTTAGAAAACTAATGCATCTACCTAACTTTACATGCTACGAAACTTTGCAAACCAGCAAGATTTACTAGGTGCCTTGCACTAGTAAACTCAACCAGCAATAACCTGAGTGAAAGACCGGAAAACGTAAACTCAACCATACAAACTTGAACAAAAGAAAATCACTAAGTAGAATCACAGAAGTTAGAGTTATAGGATATTCTGAATAGGAAAGCTTTCTTTAATCTTACAGGGCATGAGGTTGCTCTCCTTGAAGTCAGGATCACTGGCATTAACTTTGCCGGATTCAGTATATGTATTAATATTGTCATTGATATACCAGCTTTTGTTTTCATCAGTTAGAGAAAACAGCAAAACATAAGATCTGTCGATATTTTTTTCCATGTCTCCATCCAGCGTGCCTGAAACATTAAGAACAACAAAACTTGCTCTTTGCACCAATTATTTCTGCTATGAAATAAACCGGTGATTCTAACTGCTTCAACTTAATCTTGCACACCGAGGGACAGAACTCTAAGGAACAGGCCCACGGCCTCTCTCCTCTTCCTACTTTATTCTACTCTGCTGATTCAACGCTCCTTTATACAAGAAAGGGGTCAGTCATTTGGGGAGAAGTTGGCTAAAGTGAAGTCTGCTGGGTTGGACTACCACCTAGTGACCAACCTGCATCACTGGACTTGAACAGAGGTCTTGGACTCACCATCGCCATCCGCTGCTCAGAGTCTGAGAGGGCAACTTTACTTTCTTGACTGGAAATCAAGATCAAGGTGGAAAATGGAGCTTATTTGATAGATAACATCTCCACTAGGAGAGCAGGGGAGAGCCCACTTATTCTGGTTCTATTGCTACCATGAGATTTTTTAAAACATGTTTACCTCTTTTGCAAGTCAGAATTGGTCCAATGAGACCCGAAGCCACGTCTTTTGGAGTGTCTACATGGGAGTGGTAAATCCTTGTCACGCAATTACTGTCATTGGGTCCAGGCCCCTGATTTTCTTCTACATACCACTTGTAAGTGTATCGTGCCCCTGGCTGCAGACGGTCGTCTTCCTTTTGCTTGTCCGTCGTGTTATCAGGATAGAGAGCGCCTACAGAACATAATCCACACTGTGGTCACAGTAACCACTGGGCAAACACTATTTTGAATGTGACTCATGCTTTCTGTATTAAGCCATAAGTGTAGGCTAATTTGTATCTTTAGAATCAAGTGTGCATTTCTCCCTCCTTTTTTCCTGCCTCCTGTCTCTTCTTCCTTAGCTGACTTCCACATGAATGCCCAGCTTGTCTAGTTTCTAGACTAAACTGGAATGAGACAGGCAGTATCATTACAGACTGTTGATGTAATGGATCCATCAATGGATCCACCATTGATGGATTCCAAAAATATTTACTGTTTGTGTACTGTCTACTTAGACTTCACATACATAAATCTAGGCACGAGAGTTGCCTTCCATATTTTCTTCAGACTTGGGACCCAGGGCGTTAAGAGACATTCGTGTGTCCTCCAAGTAGACCACTGGAAACCAAAAGTGGCCGTCTGCATTGCATATGTTACCCTGAGCTATTACCCCAGTTCTGAGTCTGGGGCCTTTCTCTTCTTTCTTTCTTCTTTTCCTAGAATTTTGCCTCAGATCTTTATCTCTTGAGGCTAGAGTCTTCATAACTATGAATAAAGTTCCTACATTCAATAGAACACTTTGAAGCATGGCCAACCTCTCGTATCTACCCATCTTTCAGGATGCTTCTGCTCCATGTTGAACATAAACCTTATTTGTTGGCTTTCTTTTCCCAATATTTTTAGGCAGCTGTGAGTGTAGATGTGTAGCAGACAAAAACTGTCTGGAAAATAATGATTTCTCTTGACACTGATGTTTTCAAGAGGATAATCCTCACCCATTGGGAAATAAAGTGAGGTGGCGGTAGAATAGTATTTCTGGAAAATAATGGTTTCTCTTGACACTGATATTTTCAAGAGGAAAATCCCCATCCATTAGAAAATGAAATGAGGTGGAGGTAGAATAGGATTTCTGCCAACCTAACATTTGCTCATGAGTGTCTTCCACAAAAAAAAAAAAAAAAAAAAAAAAAAAAAAAAAAAAATTGAATGTGATCCATGCTTTATCCATTAAGCCATGAATTACATTAGTTTGTATTGTTATTATTATTATTGTTGGTGAAAAGTGTGTTTTCTTTCCTAGGAATTGCACAAAGGTGGGTACTTACCCAAGATGAGAAATTGGAGAAGGACTGTCTTGGGTTGAAGCTTTAAAGACATCAAAAAGAAGAGTCTGCATTCACCCCAAACTACTCCCAGTTGATAATTACCCTGCTTTCCCTGAGGTATTGGGTCAATACTTCTTCCCATTAGCAATGGCTCAGGAATTTAAGAAAAAAGGATCCACTTACCTTCATTGTCTTTAGTGTAGGTGAGTCCATGAGGATGGAAACTATATATTCTTGAAGCAAAATTTTTTACGTGAACGTAAATCACGTCTCCAGTCTCTGCCTTAATTATTGGACCTAAAAATCCCAGCCAGGATGGCTTTTCAATGATTGTTTGAAATGTGTCATTGGTATACTGAAAATACAAAGCCTTTTTATAGACAGATCCTATCCTGTCTTGGCTTCGTTGTAGATATATGTGGGAATGAAACTCTCTGTAAAAAATCAACAAAGAAACAAAAAGGGAGAACTTTAACAAAGTTTGACAGGAAAGAACAAAACGATTAAATCAACTGAAACTAGAAGACTAAAGACTGTTTCCAGTCTCAGCCGCTGGAGAAAATGTGAAGGGAATCAAAAAAGGTGTCATAGGCAAGGAGAACATTGGAGTCTGTGATGAAGGGATCAAATACAAATGTAGCAAGTGATATATTTGGCATTTTTGTTTACAAGACTTACCAAATTCTTCATACGGAGCCACAAAAAAAGGCTTCTAACCCCACTTGAAGGGGACTTTAGATCTCGAGCATTAGATTGATCCCCATGACTTAGAATTGTTTACACATTTAAATGGGTTTGTGGATTTGCTGGTAGACTTAGGGTCATTTGGGCCAACAAACATGATAAATCCAAACCCCACGCGTAACCTCTAGATTTCTCCCTCCCAAATATTTGAAAAAAGAAATCAAGAAACACAGCTGCAATGTTAGAATCTCTGTCATACCCTCCATTTCAGAAGGAAGAGTGTTGATTTATATCTTGACCCACACACAAACAAAATTGATGAGAAAACGCAGAAGTAGAGATGATCCCTAAAATAACGTGTCATGATGACAAGAGTGGCAGCAATTCTAAGAAGGAAGAATTTCTGATTTCTAACGACATCTGCTTTCCATGCCATGCTTACAAGGAAACAAAGGAAGCAGTTCTAATAGCAAATGTGTCCTTAAAGGGTCAATCGTGGGAAATTCTTCACCAGCATTTTATGAATAATCATTACCAACTCCTGTTTCTGATAGTAACCATTTCACTGCAAAGGGATTACTTACTGATCTTCTGAAAAAGGCTTCCCATTGAGCATATTTTTACCAGTAGGAGCGTAGTTCCAAGTGGTTTCTTTGATGCCTATACTGTAGTGCCTATCTTTTGCCCAACCTGGAGAACTAATAAAAGCCAGAAAGAATAATGGTAAAAGGGCCTTCATTTTCAAGCCCTAAGCCTGGACAGCCTAAGTGAGTGATGTCTGCCTTTCTTTTATAATCCAGGCTATCTTCCTTTGTTTGTGTCCATTTACATAAATCAGAGTTGCATAAGAGCCCATCATGTGTTTCATCTACACATACGTCATTTCCACTCTGAATGCATTTAGTTTTTCTGAGTCAGGTTGGGTGAAATGTTTCGCAACCAACCCATAGAGAATACGGGTGCTTGGCTAGGATTAGAGCTTGCTTGAATTACTGGATAAATGGGCTACCCAGATCATCCATCATCCCCTGATAATTATTATCTTTTCCTAGGTTATAGGGATCATCTCTGGTTTATTGTCCAGACTCTCCTTTCTCACTGTTCCAGTCCATTCTACTACATGCCATTCCCAGATTCTTCATTACATGTTAATTTTAATGATTCAGTTCTCTAGATGTTAAAGTCTTTGCCATTTAATACTTTAAGTTATTCTCAAATTAGTTGAGATTCAAGATGGTCCATAATCTAGGCCCCAATCTGATATTCCACGTTCATCTCCATAATTCACTTACAGGACTCCTTCCTTCTGGGAAGTTGACTTATTGTGGATACAGTGAGGGGCCAGGATGGTGGGGGGGGCCACACTTGAACCCCAGAATCAGAGAGCTCTAACTTAACTCTGCCATTTACCAGCTGTGTAACCTGTGTGTAATTGTGGAGCTCAATTTCTTCACTTATAAAAAGATAATCACTCTTGGAAGTTGTGAAAATTAGACAAAACAGCACACATTATAGAGGAGCTCAGGGACATCTAAGGAGTCTGGTACACAGTCAGCATTTAATAAATATTATTTACCTCCTTTCTCCACATTGTGAACTTTCTGAATTCATCAGATCATATACACACCCATTCCCCAGCCTGATATTTCCACATTCTCCTTCTCCCTTCCTTGTTTAAGCCAAATTTTCCCCATTTTTCAAGATTCCTGAAACTCTACCTCTTTAGTAGATTCTCCTTGATTATTTCAGCCTATAGACACCTTTCTGTTTCTGAATTCACCAGCTATGTCCAGGTCTGGCAATTAACCTCACAGTTTTGTACTGTTGTTTAAATTTTCATATATTTTCTCTACACTCAGTAGGTTATAAATCCTAGAAATTACTTCTTTTTATTCTATATATCTTCTAGAAATGTCAAGGAATAAATGTCAAAATTTTTGGAACAAACAAATAGAGTACCTTGGCTACAGTTGCAGTACACAAAATCTTTGCCTTTGATTTATGTATCATCATATACTGGGATATCTATCACTGTTAGGTCTTGTTTGAGACTTTACAGTTGCAAAGCCACAATGCCTTTCAACAGTTAGAGTGGTATTCTGTTTAGGTTTGAAATCCACATTTAGAAATGTTAAGGCAGGGCTATCATATAGCATGTATTATTTTGTAGCTTGCCTTTATTCCTCAACTACATTTCTTAGAGACCTTTATATTATATATCATTGCCTAGAAGTCTACTTCCTTCATTTTAATTGAAGCATTTTTTTCTATTATGAATATAATTCATTTATGTTTTAAAACACAAAATTAAAAAATATTTTTCCTGGTATGCATACAGATGTCTATACACACTTAAGGAAGTGCCCAGAAGGGCACATATCAAATTAAAAACAGCTCTGAGAAGAGAGAGGATTATATTTAAAGGAAAATATTTAAATTATTATTTATAAGGAGAATACATTTCTATATTACTTGATTTAAAAATCAACAAAGTATTTGCATTTTTTTCTTTCTTGGATTAAAAAATAATGAGGCTCTGACTCTTCCCTATAAGCAACAGTTACTAAATTCTACAGAAATAAAAACTTCTGCACAAAGACATTATCCATCTATGTTTCCCCATAAGAGATTGTTTGGCATTAAATTTAAGAATAAATACTATGGAAAAAAAAGAAATAAAAACTTCTGGGCTGTTATGTCACAAAAATTCACATTTGTGAATTCGTAGGTGAGTTTTAAAAAGAAGTTAGGTAAATAATCCACTGCTTTGGCAGGTCTTAACGTCACCAGCAGATGCTGGAAGGAATTCAGAAAACCTAGGCCTGGAAGGACCTTAGTGTGTGGAAAAACTACCCACAGGTAAATCAAGAAGGGTTTCACAAATGGCACCCTTTGGAAAACAGTTGAAAGGGTTGAGAAGAAGACCCAGATCAGACACAGTGGATCTCACAAGAGAGAGGGGTTAGAAACTGGCTCTCTAGACTCAAGGAGGAGATCCATGGATTTGCATAGTTGGAAGCTACAGTCTCACATATTTAGTTCTGTATATGGAACAACCTAATCACCTTCCTCATCACTGTGGCCTACCCAGCAACTGGGAAAGAATCCATCAGGCAGGAGGGCGGGATTCCTTAAATCGGCTTTCCAATATCCCTTTGTCCTGAAATTCTGTGACTTCTTTCCTCATCCTCCCAGAAACATTAATTTTACTCTGGAATGTGGATAATAGAAGACCCACTCAGCTGACTTTTTTTTTAAGTACCCCCAAGAAGTGTAACGTCTACATTGTTCAAATCAAACAGATGTATCCCCAGTTCCCAGCTCCACTGTATACTAGCTATGTGATTTGGGATGACTTGAATAATCCTTCTGAACCCAGTCCCCATATCTGTAACACAAAGATAATAACAATTGAAGCTCAGGGCTGCTATGAAGACTTACCTTCAGCCTATTAAAGAAAGGGAAGCATCCTCCCCCCAGACAATGAAAATGGTGTTGATAAACATTCATTGTGTGTTTTTCTTCTCAAAAAATGACTAGGGAGACTGGCTTCTTCTAGTTGTTCTTGTTTTTGTTCTTCTTCTCCTTTTTTTTTTTTTTTTTTTTTGTGAGTCAGTGGGTAGGTGAGATTGGAAGGAAGCACTTTTTCTTCTCTAATATTATATAATATGGCTTGGCAAGATGACAATTTCTGTCCTTCCCTCCTGCATAGCCCTCAATAGATCCGTCTTTTGGGACAGCAGTATTTGAAGTTGGTCACCATTATTTGACTATATTCTTGGTTGGTAGCCCGAGAACATAAGGCAACTTAGTTAGCTAAGCTTTGTTGAATTTGGCCCAAAGGTGTAAGCTCAAACACCTTGGAGGAAAATTTGGATTCCTTCCTGGTTTTTCCATTCCACAGCTGAAAACCATTTAAGAGGAAAGAGAGCACACAAAAATATGCATAAGGATCTAATGATACTAGCACCTTATGTTTGTAAAAAGCTTTATAATATATAAAAATACCATTATTCTTCAAAATGTAATCTTCAGAACATTCTCCCTCACCCTTACTCTTATACCTGTTTAATACATGAAGTATCTAAAGCTCAGAGGGTCTAGTAACTCACTGTAGGATGTACGCTTCCAAGTTATGGTGCCAGGGTTCAAACAGAAATCACTGGATTCCAAGTCAAATGTTTCTTCCATGTGATCTTATTAATTGGCTTCAATAGTTTAAGTATATATACTTCTATATTACCAATAAATGCTAAGTTTTCATCAGAGTATATAACTTTAATTGTATCTTCCAACAAGGCAGACCAACGGGATATCAATGATGTGGGGTTTAAAGACAATGGGAAAGATGTTATCAACTTTTACATCCATTCTCAGTCTTTCTATTTCTTCTAGCAATAACCACTATTTGTTAAAAGTCAGATCGTCACTTTCTAAACAGTAGCTTTAATTGTGTCAGCAAATTGTGAAAGGGATGTTTAGAGTTGAGGAAATGAAAATTTGGGGGCTTTTAAAGAACTTACCAATTTAAACCCAGACCTTAAAGCCTGGTGGACATTCTTACTACCTACATTCTTACTACATTCAAACTCCCTACCTGCTACTCTGGGCAACTCTGAGCAACCATCAACCAGATTAGAAGAGTTTAAATCAGTAGAGCAACTGGCAGCTGGGGCAGATAGGTACACTTAAGCTAGAGCCCTGTGCCCTTCTCACAGGACACTGTGAAACACTTAGAACTATGTAAACTGCAAGCTTTTACAGTATGGGGTAGACTCCATAAGGGACCAGATGCCCACAAAACAAGGCATAGAAGGAAATAGTGGGAAGATGCTGAAGCTCAATAGAAAGAAAAAAACAGCCCCTGTTATTTGGAGCTGGCCTGATACTATCAGGTAGGCCTTGTCCTGGGAATCACAGTTAGATCTTGGTGTTTTCCTTCTATCGGATACATAAAATTTCCAGAACTGTAACATCAGACAACACCACTGTGACCACACTGAATCAAGACCCCCCCACCAAAAAAAAGTCCACTCCGGAATAATGTCTGAACACACATGAGGAATAGGAACATAGTCCAAACCTTTAAAATAATCAAGTATTCCCTTACCCTGACAATAACTAACTGTTGCTTCTTCACCAGTTATAACTTTGGCTTTGCTTCTTTCCTCCTGACTTCTAGATAAGATTTATTAAGACATCTAATCATAGAATCAACCCTAACACATCCAATCCAGAGCAAAGCCCTGCTTCTATAAACATCCCTCAAGTCACCTAACACAAGCACCAATCCTATAAGTCCTTTTGTAATCCTTTTTCTGAGATATTTCATGGTTCTCCATGGTATGTGTTGGCTTTCAGTGCAACAAGCAATAAACACAACTTATTCAATAACAAGTGTATTCCTGTGGTTTGGTTGGAGTGCACTGGCACTTATTTCCCCTAGGAAAAGAAATCCATGACATGGCTACTAATGAAATAGTATCAACATGACAAAAAATCAGAAATGTATGTCTCCAATCTGGACCTCCCTGCCTAATTCCAGTATACATGGTGGTCTACTTGACATCTTCACTTGGTTGTTTAATACAGCACTTGGGAAACATTTATGTGTAGATGAATCCCCCCAAAATCTGAGGGTCTTCTAAAATGTAGATTCTGAGTCTGCAGGTCTGAGGTAGAGCCTGATGTTCTACATTTCTGTGCTGCCCCCCTAGTGATGCCAGGGCTGTAGGCCCGTGAGCCACACTTGAAATAGCAACAACCTA